ACTCAAGCCAAGAACTCCGACTAAATGGCAATCAACCTCACTAATATTTGATGTGGTTTCTAAATAAGAATAACAGTCCCCCGAGGTCTTCATGCAGGCCCCGGGGTGCGCTGGATGCTATCGCGGCCTGAGCAGAGATAGCATTGATCTGAGGCATTGGGTGGAGCATGGACCATAGCCATAACTCCCCTTTTCTACATCTACCACAATTATTCTTCAGAGTACTCACATTTACCCGATTATCCGGGATGCCGCCAAAAGGAGCTCATAGCTTCATTTAACCCCTTCCCCGCAATTTGTCTTTGCGGGGAAATAGAGTAGCCAAAATTTGGACAGAATTTACCCACATTATCCGGAAAATCATCGAACTATAAATTGCGAATTCAATATCTGTTTGAAATGTAAGGGAAAAGGTCATTCTTGTACCAGTTGATCGACTACCTGCCACATCTGTGACTATGTTTCAACTAGGATCTATATTTCTAATCGCCCTGTGTATCAACTTTGCATCTTCCTTTCCTTTGCTAGCCCGAAGAAACTATGAAGGTAACACAGAAGACTCGCACTGGGTGAATATATGGACTACTATGCCCCAGCTGGTCGAGCCCGCTAACCTACCCCCTGCTCCATTCGTATGTCGGATATCATTCTCAAGGGAAACCAATGCTTTGGTACTGACTGTGGAGTACAGAATGGATCCACTGCTGTGTTCAATAATGCCACCATTCGTCAAACCCTCCAGGTCTCATTGGCCGCACAGGAGATCCGTATTCGACTCAGTAATACATTTGGGTTAAATGAACTCAAGGTGACCAATGTGACTGTCAGCCTACCAGCGAGCCAGCAGGTGGGAGTTAGTGGTCTACAAACAGAGACATTGAAAACTGTGTTCTTCAATGGAAGCCCAGACGTGGATATCCCAAACGGTGGTCTGGTTGTGTCTGACCCAATAAAGTTCCCTGTGAAGGCCCAATCCGCTCTCATGATAAACATATATCTCGAGGAGGGACAGCAAGGCTTCTCTATTACTGGCCACCCTGGAAGTAGAACGACTTCATATCTCACTTTTGGGGATTGGACTGGCGCAGAGAACCTCACAGATTCATCTGTTCAAAGCACGGACCATTGGTGAGCATTTCTCCCAAAAGCCTACTGATTCCCCCGAATGCGAATCTGCATCTGACCCCTATATTAGGTACTTTATCAGTGGAGTCGAGGCTTGGCTCCCTTCTGAGTCTAGTAGCTTCGCTATCATTGGCGACAGCATCACCGATGGGCGAGGCAGCACTACAAATGGCAATGATCGGTAAGTGTGCCGTCCTGCGGTGCATGGTTTATGGCTTACGAATTTAGTTGGCCGGATCTGTTGTTGGCAAGAATGCAAAAACACAAATCCACATCAAATATCGCCATTCTCAACCAGGCTGCCGGGGGAAACCGTATTCTACAAGACGGCCTCGGTCCAAATGTGATCAGCCGTCTTGACCGGGACGTCCTAGCACAATCAGGAGTGCAATATGCGATGATCTTCGAAGGCGTGAATGATATTGGCGGAGCTGATAGCGATGCAGCCACGCAGGCGGAAATTGAAAAGAAACTTGTGGCGGCATATAAACAGATCACGACACGGGTGCATGCCTTGGGTATTCCAGTATTTGGAGCTACTATCACGCCATTCGGCTCGTCGGCGACCTCCGACTATGTGCAGCCTTACTCAAGTACCGAGCGGGAGAGGACTCGTCAACGAATTAATGAATTTATCCGGCAAAGTGGCGTATTTGATGCGGTACTGGACTTTGACCAGGTATTGAGGGACCCGGACGCGCCATCGCAGTTGCTGGAAAAGTATGATTCAGGGGACCATCTTCATCCTAATGTGGCCGGGTATCAAGCATTGGGTGATTATTTTCCTCTCGGGGTATTCGAGTGAATTTAGAAGATTATTATGAAAGGCCAATGGAAGAAAAATGATCCCAAGATTGTTGTTCACAGATGCAAATATAGGTACATAATTTTCGTATCACCACCAAATTAAAGCTTTAAACTTTCGTATAGAAAGACAAAATATCTTTAAATACGACGCTTGAAGTTGTTCTGAAGGCTGCGCTTTTTGTAAGCGCCACCAGCGACAAGAGCCTGCTTGCGTCCAGGACCAAAGTCCGGAACACCGCCCAGAGAACCGAAGATATCACCGACGTAGTTGTTGGCCTTGACACCAGCAGCAAAGGTGGCATCCCACCCGTCCAGAATACCCTCGACGACCTTGATACCAGCAACATAGAGATTCTTAATAGCGGGCTCGAATGCGCCCTGCTCGGAGGACTCGAAGAGGTTGTAAGTCGCCGAAGCACCGGGGTAGGGGCGATCGAAGTCTGACGCAGTGCGCATCACGATAATGCGAGAGAAATCAGTCAGCTTGTGGATCGAGGATCGGAGCAAGACTTCGAAGGTGGCGTTATCCTCCTGTGCGGTAGAGCAATAGTCGCCAGTTCCATTCGTCAACACCTTGGTGGTGTTTTCGAACACCGAGCCGAGGATATTGCCGCTGAAGTATACATCCGAGGTTGCGACGTCACACTCAACAACGCTAGGGGGCAAAGTGGCAGCCTTGTACTTCCCACTAGGGGTCTTGTAGTGGGCGCGGTAGGCCTGGGCAGTGGCGGAATCGGAGAGGTTTGCCTTACGTGCAAAATCGGCCGCAATTGTGCGCAGGTTGGCATTCACCTCGAAGACTTCCGTGCCGTAAATGCTGGTTGGGTACTGGCCTGGGAATTCGGTGCCTTGCGCGATATAGCCGGTGGTATAGTTGCTGGGAAGCTCGCGAATGTCGATTTCGTACTGCAAGGCGACCTGAACCGCGTACCGAGCAAAGGTTGCGGATCCAGTGGTGGCTTTCTTGGGGCTGACACCGGCAATGCCCGCGACGAAGAAGTATGTTTGCGTGAGATCGAAGATAGGGGAGAAAGCAACCGAAGTGACAGTGGCAGCGGCGTTGATCTCGCCTTCTCCAGTCACGAGCTGGCAAACATCATAGTCCTCTGTGCAGTACACGTCCGGGAACAGAGGCGAGAGACCGGGAATGGTGATATTGTGGGCAAACAAGTCGAATTCGGGGATGTTCCACCAAGCTTCGGCTTCAGGTGCGAACTGTGATAAAATATTAGCGAGATTAACTTTTTTTGGCGGAAGCGCTCGCGCATACCATTGACACAATGAACACCTTGGGAGCAATTGCTCCATGGTGACCCTTCTGGGAGATCCCAGTAGCTCCGGCGCATAGTGAGCTGCCAGCGAGCAGCAACGAGGCCGTCAAAGTTTGAAGGAGGCGCATGGTGAGGAAAGTTACAGTTGCAATTGGAACTCTATTCCTGCATATACCACGGCCTTTTATTTGTAAAATCGTGAAGATTTTGTAACCCTTGCGTCTTTCACGCTATGGAGGGACCATCGCCGATCTGTGGATGCATCGGTACCTGACTAGGGCAAGATCAGCATCAGAACGTGGAACAAATTGGAGTCCCTCAACCAAAAATCACCGGAGATTCTCCTATCGGCCATCTTGAAGAAATTTCATTCGTGCGAGATGTATGGAGAACACAAAAGATTGATACTTGGCTTATGACTGGCTCTTTGCACTTGAGTGTGGGTCGATCGGTATGCGATTCCACAGTAATTTCCTCTGATGGCAGTTGCTTTTAAGCATCGGAGCTTGCCGGGGCCCACTTCCGGTATATGTGTGGTAAAATTTTGGGAACAATCTCGAGGTTTTTTTAGGTGAGCTTCTTGCCGTTGGAAATTGCGGAGAGATACTCAGTACTCGTGCTGCATGAGCTGAGCCTGTCACTGCCAATTGTCATTCTACTCGAAGTATCATGTTCATCGAACACGGCATCTATGCCATATACGGGATCCACCTGGTCGAAGGCATGCTCTGCGTTGGGTGATAAGAAGATGTAGAGCGTATGATAAGGTCACCGAGGTTTCCGGAGGCCTGCGGAAGAGTTTGGGAAACCTGCCCTTCCATGTCTAAGCAAAAGCAGTATGGCTTGGTTGTGGAATCTGGGGTGGATCTGGTACCTTGACTGGCTGTAATTGTTGGACTGATTCTGCTCTGATCAGCAAGAAACTACATCAGACCTTCATCAGAAGAGAAAGCGAGAAGTAGACGAAACGAGTGGTGTCTTGCACAGTTGCTCTGGGCCTCGTCCAAGGAGAAATGCCTCTGAGGACCATGTATTCAAAGGTTGCAACTTTTAAAACTGGAAGTAAATTACGCGTCCATCCAGGTTGACACTTGATATCACTTTATTCGCATCTCAATGCACCCTAACCACCGTTCAAGGCACACTAGGCCCCGCAGTGGCGTCCACAGCTACTGCGGATACTAACCATGAGCTCATTTTTAGGTCTCTACCCATCCTTCACCTTGGCATTCTTAGAACGCTACGAGGAGTAAGAAGCACGCCATGGCAAACGGTATATCATATGCACTTAACGTCGATAGCGATGTTATAGCTCCAACTCCAAAATTGCTAGGTATGACAAGTCATATCCTTCATAATGGCTAATCTGGAAACCAAAGACATCAATTAGCCGAGTGGTCCCGATTGACTACAGTAGTACTCAATTCCACTCGTGGTCGCATTCGAATCATGCAACCGTTGTTATGCTTTTGCCAAATCGGGCTAGAAGAAACCCGTACCTTTTATGAATCACCTCCACGCACGTGAAAGAAGATCTGAGACATCATTTTGTTTTCTTTTGTTTCCTTGACTAAAGATTGGTACCTGGGTTTTGGCTGGCCTTTTGCACTCGAATGCGACACTATATCAAATTAGTAAGAATCGGTTAATGGACTCAACATCAGCCAATCATTTCCATTGACGCGGATAGCACCTCCACCTCCCACTAGACCCCTATTATCGAGAAATCGAGAAACCAATATGTACCTAAAAGGACAGCCTTCTCAAAAACCTTGCATATGAGATAACTATACCATTATGAGTTCCCTATCCACCTCTTTCGAACCAGCACAGAAGCGCCAAAAGATCCGGAAGGGCACTTTCAGCTGCTGGGAATGTAAGAATCGTAAGATTCGATGCCAGTTCACCTCGTCATCGGCAACAATATGTGAATTTTGTCAGCGCAAGGGAGCCTGGTGCATAAGCCAGGAGTGCCCTAACCCTCAAGGCATGGGCTATCAAGACGTGGAACGGCGCCTTGACCACGTTGAGGCTCTAGTGGCGAAGCTCGTGCAGCACCAAGGAGCCCCTTCACCCTCCCAAACGTCACCAGTTGGCCATCAGGTGAACAAAGATTCGTTTATCGATACCATAGACTCCAGGGCGGTGCCAAACAGCGATATCATTCCTGAGAGAGGCTCCCTAAGCCATGTTCAGTCATTACTTCCGTCTGCTGTCATTCTTAAACGAATTCTGGATCGCAACCCGCTCCGTGTTCGACCATTTCATTTGTTAGTCTGCTCAACTACGCATAGTCAGGTTGACCACCACTCCCCATCGAACTCCGATCAACCAGTGCACCTTGCAAAGAGGATCATCCAACTTGCCCTATGCTTACAACAGCCGATCCAGAGCGTGCTAGACCTCCGGTTTGACCAGCCGAGTGAGCAGATGGCACATTATTTTATCGGCATCGCGTCTCGCTATATCACCTCGCAGGACTTACTCGTCAACTCTCTCGATGGCTTAGAAACTCTCATCTTAGAGGCTCACTTTCATCTTCGTACCGGTAGTCTCCGGAATGCCTGGCTTCTCTTCCGTCGCGCGTTAGACATCGCCGGCTTGCTAGGCCTCCCATGTCGGAAGCATGAGGTTAACAACCGTGCGGAATCCATATGGTTCCGCTTAGCCTACAGTGATCGTTTTCTATCCCTTATGCTGGGACTTCCTTTTGTCGAGGTGGACTGCCAGCTCACCCGTACACGGCAGATTGTGGCTGACCTGTGGTCTGATCAGTTGGAACGCACTCATGTTGTGGTCGCAGGCAGGATTATTGCTAGGAATCTCCGCATGCAGAAACGCCATGGATGCCAACACGAGTCACAAGAAAACCCCGTCGATGAATACCAAGAGACACAGGATATTGATCTTCAGCTCAAAAAGGCCAGTCGTATACCCCCTGTACGCTGGTGGGCTTCACCGCCGCTAGGCGATGGCATGCTAGATATAAATTCGCCGGAACAGTTCACTCGGGTCCTGACGCAGATACATCAATTCTATCTGGTGGTTTCCCTTCACCAGCCGTATCTCCTAGATCATCTGCGCTTGGAATCAAAAGCTCATCGTCAAACAGTGACCCGTTCGTCGCATAATCACTCTTACAGCAAAATGGCCGTTCTCTGTGCAAGTCGCGAAGTCCTTGCTCGCTTTGGCATGTTCCGTCACGCCTTCCAGCAGATTCCATACCTTGGCTTTATGGAGAAAGCTTTTTCTTCTGCATTGTGTCTCCTTCTAATACACATTGATGGGCATCGCCTCAAAACAGGAAATGTGTTAGAGCACCAGCGTCCAAGAGACTTGGCAGTCATTGATGACGTGATTCATGTTATGGAGGAGATCTCTGCCGCCCATAAAGATAGCATGACCCAGTCCTATGTAAAAATACTATCTACATTGGTACGCATGGAGGAATATGCAGCCGACGGAGCCGAATATCTTACGTGGTTGGACCCCGAAACCCCCGAGAACAATAACACTCAGGCCACCATCGAAGATCAGAAGATGAATTTCCCGTTGCCGTATTTTGGCAGGTTCCATGTCTCACGTGAAATGTCTCCAACCCCCGAATTACGACTATGAATTTGGAATGTGAGACTCACTGCTGCAAGTATTGACTGGTCTGTATGAGATTTATGAGAGAGGAGACAAATATGTTATTCTCTACAGCCAGTCTGAGGCTGGCTAAATAGCCTATGAAGTCCGACAAACAAGACATTGATGCATATGATGCATATGTCTTAGCATGATACCCAAGAATGCTGTACCGAGACGTTGAACCGTCATGATTGCAGCAGCCCAAATTACCCAGCCAGAACATACATCTCACAGTGCGGGGGTGTCCGCAAAAGCATATCCAGTCAATTCTTGGAATCGCCCACCCACAATTCTGTCCGCTATCTCCCGTAATTCCTTTTCCTCATCCGCCGACAAGGAAACCTGCACACTCTCCAGATTCTCAACCAGCCGGTGTGTCTTGGTTGTTCCAGGAATTGGGAAGATGTCATCTCCCTGGGCAAGCAACCATGCCAAAGCCAGCTGCGCGGATGAAACACCCTTAGACGCAGCGATTTTCACAATCCTATCGACCACAGCCACATTCTGCTCCAAATTCTCCTCCATCAGCCAAGGAAGCTTCGCACGGGCACCCCCGGCTGGACATCCTCCTTGGTACGGAATTTATTGGCGAGAAGGCCGTTGCCAAGAGGACTGTAGCATACAATTGCGACGCCCAGTTCACGGGCAGCCTCAAGAAGACGGTATTGTGGCGACTCGATGGCGCGACAGAAAAGGCTGTATTCGACCTGGACAGCCGTGATGGGGTGGACTGCATGTGCGCGTCGGAGGGACTCAGCACTGCACTCGCTCAAGCCTATGTGTTTTATTTTCCCTGCGTTCTTGAGCTCGACCATGGCTTCCATGGTCTTTTCGATTGGGGTGACCTTGTCCAGACGGTGGATGTAGTAAATGTCGAGGTAGGATACATTGAGACGGCGGAGGGAAGATTCAATGGCTTTCCGGCAGTACTCAGGGGTGGAATCGACCTTGAATGTTCCAGGTAATAATATGATGCCGAATTTGCTGGACAAGAAGATGTCTTCGCGCTTGCTGGGGTTGGCGGAGAACCATTTTCCCAGCACATCCTCAGACGTGCCGTATTTATCGGCTGTAGGAGAGGTCTTCAGCATTATATTCGTTCTCTTTGTATGGATTCACCTACCAGTGTCCCAGAACGTTTCCCCTCGATTGTAGGCTTCATCGATGAAAGCGAGATGGTCAGCCTCCGACAGGGGCGCATTGTAAACTCCGCTGGCACCCATCAATCCCAGGCCTAGTCGAGGAACAAAAGGTCCATTGCGACCTAGCTGGCGCAAGGGAATTTTACTCAAGGTTGCCATTTCGCTGGTTTCAAGCTGGGCGAACGATCAATGTGATTGTTGACGAAGAGGGATAAAACAAATAAAAGTCTCTATTCTGGTACTATAATGGCAAGAAGAGTGCGAACCTGGCGTTTAAATAGCTAACGATCAATATGTTTTCCGCCGTCAACTCCGTCTGCTATAGAACCCCGGCCCCACGAAATCTGTTAATCCCGCCGCTATCTCCACCACTAGTACTTTGTCCACTAAGGACAGCGTTCTTCATCAACTCTAGAGTACAAATTCTCACTTCAGGTATCAAGTCTAAAAGTTCTATAATAAATCTAGAAAGAAAATACGTCGCCTCGATTGTATGCCCTTATGACTAACACATAACAGTATCCGTCCATCCGATAGGCAAAGCAAAAGGATACGATACTATATCAGTGTATGAAGTTAAAGATACTGAATGACAAGAGTACCTAGGTACTCTAGAATACGAGTATACGGGCAATACTATCGACGAACGAACCATTATAGCATAAACGACCCTATAGGGCTACTCCATTCGAGTTATAGTTAGTCTATAGGTGATCGGATTTGCTCACTACTTAGAACTTGGACCCCGAGCATCACCAGGCGATTAGTGAGCACCTAATGAGAATTTACATATGATCCGTTATCATGGGCGTGACTATATGAATGTAGTCTAAGCGCCCTCAATCAAATCTGCTCAAATAGGAAAACTGGGAAAACTCGGTACATGTGTAACGTGTCCGTGCCCAAGTATCGACGCAAAAGTCGCCCGAAAGAATAATAAAGTAATCTCATCTTATTAGTGACGAGCACCCATCCAGTAAAAATATAAAAGTGCCATTCCATGGGTCACATTCCATGGATGGACGCGTGAAGGTGGATGCCCCTGAAGCCCAGTGATAGCAGGGCCCTCAAGCCACTGACTACCGGACGTTGAAACGTGGAGAATGACGCATGTCAAGCATATCCCCAGTGCTATTTACGGTCGTTTGAATCGAAATGGCAGCAAATGGCAGCCAGAATATGCTGATCCCCGGAGATTAAATTGTTTGGTTCTCAACGTCATCTGACGTCATTTTTTAATATAAAGGTACACCAGATGGCAAAACAATAAAATCAAGGTCAGGGACGCTCAAGGCCATTTACATTACAATCTTTGCTTCTGGTTTCTAGTTTTCTAGTTCGTCTGAAGATACCATTCATATTCGCATTCATATTCGCATCGCAACATAGCCCAAACAGCGTGTCTCCTCTATACCACCCCCCACCAGTTCCAAGTTATACACAACTTTACAACCCATAACCACCCACTATGCCTTCAATGCACGAACGTATCCGCGAGGACCTCCTCAACAAAGAACGTGCACTATGGACAGCCCTCACATCCGCTGATCCAGCACCGGCCATCTGGAAACTCAGCAACCCAGAAGCCTGTTTCCTATTCCCTCAGATGCGCATCATCACACTCGAAGACGAAGACGCTTTCAAAAAAGCCGTCCGACCACCCTTTCACCGATTCGACGCCTACCAGTTCGAGGAAGTACGAGTCATTATCGTTGATCTGATGGCCGGCGTGGTCACATACAAGGTCCGCGCTGTGCGTGGGAAGAAAGAATACACTGCCTCGGGCTCGACGACTTGGAGTCAAGGGTCAGATGGGGAGTGGACGCTGGCTTGTCATCAAGAAACTTTGATGTGAATGGATTATGTGTCAAATTGTGTTGTTGTTTTATTTTTTTTGTATACACCCCGTTTCTTCGATACCTCTTGCGATGCGGACTGGGGGAATCTGATCTTGGCGAGCGGCGAACGTGTGTTTTTAGTGATATGATGCAATGTATCACGAATGAACGAATCTTTTAATGCTAGATCATGATTGAAGTTATTTGAAATTAAGAATTGATTTTTTAGTGGGTTAAGTGGCTTTCTTAAGTGATGTCGTGGCGAATCAGCGACTGATAAGCCAATTAATGCGATGATCTCTATGTACGTACGGAGTCGATATCTAAACCTTGCTTTTTTTGATTGGCAATCTTTGAAGCTGCATTATGATTGATTGATTGATTGATTGATTTCTTCTTTTTGAGGCTGACCTATTTAATGATTCAGTCGTGGCGCAGTTTTTTTTTTTTTTGAGCGCACCAATTCACTAATGCAAGCCTCCTTGCTCTATCAGCATATTTTGACAAGGGATAGCCCATCACCCACCCCAGCCCGGCTTGTTATTAGCCGAATCATGTCAGACAATTGCATGATAAATCACGGACTTTGTACTCCGTACGGAGTACGGATTACGGAGTAAAATGGGTACGGAGTGCGGAGTAAAATCGTGTCAAATCCTTCGACAGGGGTAATATATGGATTCCAATAAAGATATTAATAAGCAGGTATTCTTCGAGAGAGGGAGAGTAGCTGGTCTGTGTAAAACCCAAGAAAAGCCCCCTTTTTTCACTAAACACGATCATTAAGCTCAAGGAACAACCTGGGGACAGACGCTATGACAGTCGCATCAGACCACCAAGAACCATGGGGCTTCCAATGGCGATCATCCACTTATTTCATTGTCGCGACAGTGGGAGTGGCTTTGCTCACAGGTAGGCTCTTCGCGCATATAACCTTAAAAAAAAGAGGCATATCTTAACCCATGCCATAGATATGTATGTGTATGGATTTATCGTTCCACTTCTTCCATTCGTGCTAGAGCATCGACTGGGAGTTGACCCTTCGCTCACCCAGCGGATAAGCACAGCCCTGCTAGCCCAGAGCGCGCTTGTGATGGTCGTGGCAAGTCCCCTGGTCGGGTACCATGCTGATCGCTCGGGCGCGAAACGTGGCTGGCTGTTATTTGGACTTGCGGGTGCATTGTTGGGCTCTTTGATACTCGCCACGGCGACTTCATGTAAGTGACGACCAACTATCCAGGAATGACATTTCCAGCGAGAGAATTAATTTTAGTGCAGTATGGACTTTATTTTCCGGGCGCCTGGTACAGTCTGTTGCATCCACTAGTCTCTGGGTGGTAGGTATGGCTACACTGGCGGACAATGTCCCTACCGGCGAGCTGGGGAAAATGTATGGGTTCGTGACTATTGCCATTGGCGTAGGAACATCGGGCGGACCACTTGTGGCTGGTGTTCTGTTCGATATAGGTGGGTACTGGGTGGCTTGGTCCAGTGTCCTTTTCGTTATTGTGTTTGATGTGATCCTACGATGTCTCATGCTGGAACGGTCGCGTGCCACCGGTGGACCAGTTCGCGCGGAGCGGGACGGGCAGGATCCAGAGAGGGAGGCACTTTTGCCACCATCAACTGACCCAGATCAACAGACAAGCGATCAGGCTGTATCGGAGAAAACGGGGATACACTTCTATCTATGCATGTGTAGCAACGGTCGCTTCATTGGTGGTGTGGTTAGTTATTTCTGCTTCGCCGTTTTAACCGCCAGCTTCGACACAACCCTTCCTCTCCATGTGCGCGATGCGTTCCATTGGGGAAGTCTCCCCGCTGGTTTGTTGTTTGCAGCTTTCCAGGGCCCCGCGGTGTTGTTTAGTGTTCCTGTCGGCTGGCTGAAGGATCGAGTGGGGACTCGATACCCGACCTCGATCGGGTTTGCTCTTCTGGTGCCTTTATTGTGGCTGATCGGTGTTCCTGGGGACAAACGGTTTCCCTGGGCCAGTGATGAGAGGATTGGTTCGATCATATACAGCGTAGCTATCACCTGTATCGGGATTGTGATCTGCTTGCTCAATGGGGTGGGTATGATGGAAGCCACTCGTAAGTTTTTTTTTTTTTTTTTTTTTTTTACGTCACGTTGGGAAGTGGATCATAACGATTTTCCAGAAGCCGTTGATGAGATCGAAGGAAAGAACCCCGGAATCTTTGGTCCGAATGGCGGATATTCGAGGGCAATATCAGTTTCCAGTATCAGTTGGACGATGGGAATGTTTGTTGGGCCGATTCTCTCGGGATATGGTACGGAACAAATCGGATATTATGGAATGAGTTGTCTGTTGGGTTCGTATAACCTCCCCTGTCCGGATTTCTTCATGTCGCCACGCTAACGGCGTCCAGCGGGGATGTGCGGACTTTGTTCTTTGACCGCCTTCTGGAATCTAAAATCGTCTGTGCCCTCGAACCAGGAGACTGCGGAATGAGAGAAATCAAATGTCCCGCATTTGATATTGCTCAGATTCCACCAGTGTTTGAGGTTAGAAAGGGCTATCTCGCTTAAAAAAAAAGGGAAAACAAAGAAGAGGCAGAAACCGAAAAAGTTAGTTTTTTCTGACAGGCCCGATTTGTTTTTTTTTAACTTTAGCGCAACAAAAGCACCGAAAGGGGGGCCGAGTACTTTGGAAGATGGAATATGCATAGAAGGTTAATGGTGCCATTCATTCAATCCTTACCGAGGTAGCAATATATAAATCGAAGCACACGCTCAACCCCAGACTAGAACGGAAAGAAAAGTTGGAAATGGAAGTGGAACTGTAGATCCAAATAAACTGGAGCTAATGAAGTCCTAAGTGGAGGGAAATGACTCTTAAGTGGTCGTTCAGTGGTCTTTCAGTGGTCCATCTTCTAGTCTCCAGTCCCAAAGTAGACAAAACTTGGCAAAGTAAGACAAAGCGACAAACGCCGCTGTCATTTTCTCCGGTCCGACGGGTTCTTTCCGTTAGACTAGTTTCCCGAGCTCCTGCCGCAATTGATTCTGAGGTGTATCTTTTTTTTCTCCCAAATTTCATCTATTTTCATATTTTCTTTGTATAAACTTCCCACGGACCTTCTAGAGTTCCCCCAGACCCCACGCCACTCGCAAATGCTTACCTAGATAATCCCCCATACTTTGTTTCCATGGTTGAGTACTCCGTAGACCTGTCTCTAGGTGTGAGCTATACATTCAAAATTGTGATAACCATGGTTGAAAATGTGAGACTCCACCTCGGATTCCACGGAAGCAGAGGCCGAAGCATCTCCTTCCCCGGCCGAACTCTAGAGGATTCTAGCCCGTTAGTTTTTTTCTTAGGTGCATAGTATATATTAATCCTTGAGAAATCGTCAGATTGAAAATTCTGCGATATAAGCTCATGCCAAGATAAATTCCTTCAGGGTACTTCCCTCCCTCTGAAATCTCCTCTACACTCAGCACAATGGAACCAATTAGCCCCCCACAGAATATCGCCATCATCGGTGCTGGCATCGCAGGCATCGCGTGCGCATTGTCTATATCCCGGGAACTCTCTCCCTTTGTGCCGAACCTGAAAATCACAGTCTACGAGCGACATGACATATTATCGACTTCCGGCGGTGCGATCAATTTGACCCCCGTCGCACAAAGGCATCTCGCCCAACTGGGTGTGCTAGAGGAGTTGGACCGGATGGGTCCCGAAGGTGGTGCCGATGTCGATGCCATCGAACTCTTCTCCATGCGTTCGGGCCGCTCCATCGGCTCCATCAACTTCACAGACAACCAGGGAAAAGGATTTGGTGGATACAAGGGCCGAAGAGTCATGCGGATTTCTTTATCCGTGGCCATGTTAACCGTGGCGGAGCGGGCTCGGAACGTGGAAATTGTCTTTGGCAAAAAAGTGATCGGTGGCGAGGAATTCGAGGATAGTGCCGTCGTGCATTTCCAAGATGGCACACAGGCCGTGGGAGACTTAGTCATCGGCTGCGATGGCGTCCACTCGGCGGTCCGAACCCGATTCGTGGACGTCGACCGGCCGGCTGAGTACACGGGTCTGTCGTTTTTGCAGGCCACGATTGACTCGGATACAATTTCATCCCCCACTCACTTCCGCACATCATCGCTCAATATCTCGCGACATGGCTCAATGCTGGCCAGCTATTGTGACCGCGATTGCGAACAGATCTTCGCTGCTGCTATTGTTCAATTTAGCCGTGAATCGCTGGCCCGCTATCGGCTAGAGCCCGGTCAGGATTGGGCCACCCAGCACAAAATTCGCTGCGCCCTCCGTGAGGAGGTAAGAGATCGCTTTGGCAAATGTGCCATTCCCTGTATCAAAGAAATGATTGAGGGTAAAGCGGACTGGATGCTTTACCCCGTATATCAAGTTCGCCCCGGAGGACGTTGGTGTCTGAATCGAGTTATTTTGCTGGGCGATGCAGCACATGCGGTATGTTTCAATCATGGAGACCCCACCTATTTGGTCATTTCTAACAAAGCTATACAGATGCCTCCGCGTGATGAGTCGGCTGCATACGCACTGGACGACGCAATTTTGTTCTCTCGAATTCTGGCCAGCTATCGTTCGGAGCCTCTGACCGAGGCTTTCGATGCATACGAGACTCTTCGTCGCGATACAATCAACCATGCATTCAAAGAGTCCCGTCGTATGTGGGAACGAAACCGTGAGATGGGATTCTTGGAGGGCAGAATTAAGGAGTGGATGATGACTTTCCATCTCAAAACCAACGTAAACGCACGTGAGGCCGCATGGGCCTTTGACGCAACTAAGATGGCCCTCCCCACACCAGCACCCAGTGAAGATTTGGTTTCGCTGAATTCATTCTTGAGGGACCGAACTCTATGAGCAAATGGCATTTTTAGAAGATTGGGGCGGAGTTTGGGTTGGCCTGCATGGACTGGAGCGTGAATCATTTCAATTAATCGATACCCGGTAATTAGCTTCTAGAATATATCTAAATCGATATGTTCTTGGATGTTTCCTCAAAAATATTACTTTGTCTTTCATTTTCTCGGACTTGTATCTGCTTAATGTTACTTTTGGTCTATCCTTGGGATGGCCGTTACGTTTAGGTGCTGTCCACTCAACCTTGGAACGGAACAGACAATGGGTTGACCCCAACCTGTCAAAATAGTTAAAATTTCTTGTTCAACTAATTTCTTCATCTTAATTCACTTGTAGAATTATTAAACCAATGCTAGGCAGATGGGTGGATGTATATAGGTTCTCCATCTCATGGCCTCCGCCATTTGTTCGTTCTGTTTCCATCTTATCTTTTGAATTTGATTGATGAGGTGCTCTGCTATATACTGTGGATATTGAACCCCACAATGTCGTGTACTGTGAATTTTACAGGATATTATTGCCAGCAAAAAAAAGATAGATTTTCTTAGATACTAAACTACAACAAGTTCAACCCAAATAGACACGAATTGCGCTTTTCAGACAGCAATTCCATACTTGCTACAAACCTTCTCCCAACGAGATGCTTAGAAGGTGAGAGTCTGGCCAGCGGTACCAACGACAGAAGCCTTGACCTTGGAGGAGCCAAGCAAGTCGTAGCTGTAGGGAACCGACTTCAGGGTTCCAGCCTCGGCAGTGTTCTCTCCGCTGCCGAAGTCGTTGTCGTTGGCTACAGCATAGCCAGAGTCGGTAGAGTAGAGAGGCTTCTTGCTATCAACAAAGGTGTTGGACTCAACCAGAAGCTGGGCGCCCTGGCGGGTGTTGATGCCGTCGGAAACGTTCTCGTAGTAGCTGTTGTAGACGTGGCCAGTACCGAAACGGAAGGAAGGACCGCGCGAGTTGATGTTGTACCAGTAGTTGTTGTTCTGGGTGACGTGCAAGTAACCGGTGTCCTCATCGCCGTTGCTGTCGGAGTGTCCGATCAGGGAGGCCTTCCAGTGGTCGTGGATGAAGGTGTTAGAGACAGTGACGAAGTCGGCAGCGTGGGTAATCTTGTTCATGTTAGTATCTGTCGTTTATTGGAATTCGATATCTTGTGATATAGACTTACATCAATGAGTCCATCGTAGTAGTCCTTGTCGTGATCCCTGTCGGACGAGACATCGCAGTGGTCAATCCACACATTGGTCGATTTTTCTAAGCCCAGTCAGCCTTTCTCTTCTTTCCTCAATGGACGAGGTCCCTCAGCATGATGTACTTACGAACACCAATGGCGTCACCGTTCTCAGCAAGAACCTTCTGGACACCCAGGTTGCGGATGATGACGTTCTTCTGCTCCTTGACCAGACTATATTGGTTTTAGTATCATTTCGAATCGATGTTTGGAATGACAACATACAGGCCAAAACCGCTCAGGATAGCCTTGGAGTCCTTGCCGATAATGCTAGTGTTGCTTCCAACACGAACTTGCTTGGCGGCCTCGGTGATGGTGCCGTCCACAATGACAACCTTGGCATCATCGCCAGTGACTGCGGAGGTGAAGGCAGCATACGACGAGACGGTGGTAGTAGTGCCACCGGCACCACCGTTGGTGCCTCCATTCTCGCTGGCATAACCAGTAGCGACCTAATTTAAAGCAACGTTAAGATATGGCGCAAGAGGGTTTCGAATGAATCGCGTATTGATACTCACATCATCGAGGTTTCCGCGCTTTCCCAGGTAGGTTGTTGCAGTAGGAGCTCCCAGTGCAAGGCTGGACAAGCAGCCAAGCAGAGAAACTGCCATCAAGTTGAAAGGAGCCATTGTAGATGAATGAAAAAAGAGAGATTAAAGGAATGAAAGAGCAAAGTGAATCGCCAGGATGCTTTGCTAGAGTAGGTGAGGGTTGATATCAGAATATTGAGAGTATTATCACGGTCGACCCGGGGGATTATATACCATTCAAGAGCTCTACTAGGCTATATGAGTTTCTGAAACAAGCTACTCCGTACATCCACCATTCTCTCCTGATTGTTGGAGAATTTGCGTGCTGGATAATCTCTTCCGGTGCGGCCGAACCGAAGATTTACCGAGATGGACATGATGGCATCAATTCTCCGACGTGGAAAGTATCAGATTGACGCTCCAGGGGGTCTCCCCTGTGGTAGCCAAGATCACATCACGTTCCCTCTGAAACACAAAGCTTGGCATGAATTGGTTGAAGTTTGCAGTCTGGAACGGGATTGAGAGCTTCCGGGCCAAGAACGTTCCACCCGTGCGCACGCGACTGGATGGAGGCCCCTTGGATGGAGAAATATTCATCAGCGATGAGCTGCTTGTTAATTTATTCTCCGGGGCCTCGTTGCCGGAAGAACTTCCACAAATAGTTTGATACATCAGGGGTGAGTTCTTGCCAAGTGTTCCGGGGTTTCAACAAAACCTCCTAGTCTTGGCATTCAGACACGTACAGAGGGATGTTATATTTCCATCAATGACCCGATTTTATGAAGCATAAACCTTCATTCCCGCATGTTGCTCAGAGTTAGCATTGGTCATAGGAAATTTACCCTGTATATGACGTTTTGAAGTATGTTGATAGTGGAGGGTTCAATAGTATGGGGTAAAATGACGTGATCGCGTTAGTTAATGAAGTCTTTTGACAACCTCAACTTTCGGATCTCTGAGAATTTGACAGATTTACTGCATATTCAACTTGGTCCTGAAACTCTGCGGAATATTCCGATACGAGCTCCTCCCGAGGTCCTCTCCGCGGACCGTTTCGGCTGAGTAATAATCCCTGTTCCCCGGGCCCTTTCCACTGGATTTGCGGGGAAAGCAAACGATCCCAAGATACTTCAAGTTGATCGCAATAGGCGGAATGTCAGAGACATTTTCATCCGTGCCAATCGTCGACTTCGCTCGGCTGAACGACCCTGTGACGAAAGATGAGGAGCTCTCAAATCTACGTGAAGCTATCTTCGTCGTCGGGTTCCTATATTTGACCAACACCGGATTAGAGGTGCGAATCACAAACAATGTAGGGGACCAAGATACTGATCCAAAATTGAGATAGAACCTAATTCGTCATACCCATGAAAATCTACCCGGACTCTTTGCTCTGTCGACAGAGGCCAAGGAGAAATGCAACATGATTAACTCGCCATCGTTTCTCGGCTATACTCGCCTCGGTGCTGAGACCACTGCGACAAAAACAGATCTCCGCGAGGTGAGATTAATTTCATTTTAAAATCTGCTATAGTTCTCGGGCACTAATTCGGTCGTTCTAGCAATTCGATTTTGGCACCCCTGGCGTGAAACCCTGGACAGAGCAGGACCCCTTCTGGCAACGGCTTGAAGGGCCTAATCAGGTAAGTCGCCCACTTTGGACGCGTGTCCCAACTACTAACCCCCAATAGTACCCAGATTACCCAGGGGCTCAAGGTCTAGTTGACGAATATATCGCGAAGACTGATGGCCTAGCGCAAGCATTCGTACGTCTTGTCGCAGAATGTCTGTCCCTCCCACGGGATACATTTGATGGCTTCAAGGGTAACATGAGCCGGCTAAAATTTGTCAAATACCCACCTGCCGCGCAAAACTCCCAGGGTGTTGGTCCTCACAAGGACTCGGCGGGTCTTTTTACTTTCCTGTCTCAAGACAACACAGGAGGACTACAAGTACTTAACAAGAACGGAGAATGGATCGATGTGCCTCCTATTGAGGGGAGCCTGGTCGTAAATATCCAACAGGGATTCGAAGCGATTACCGGAGGGATTTGCGCGGCCACGACACACCGAGTCATCGTATGTTTGCCATACTATTCATCACTCATCGGCCGTTCTAACCCGTTGCGACTCATAGGCGCCCACTTCTCAGACCCGCTATAGTATTCCGTTCTTCCAGGGCGTGAGACTAGACTTAACTCTAGATCAGCTCAAGGAATCCGCTGCTCACATTGTGCAACGAATTCCAGCCTCTGACGATAAGAAGAAACGGGCAGTTGATGTGCCGAGTGAATTCCTATCACCTTTGTATTCTTGCGTGAGTGGCTCTAGTTCGACTATTTCATGCAGGAGACTAACGAATCGTAGTTCGGTGAAGCTCATTTGAGAAATCGCATCCTAAGCCATCCGGATGTGGGTCAGCGGTGGTATTCGGAACTGTATGCAAAGTATTCTCAGCAGGTCCTAAAATAGCCTAGGAAAGGAGTATTGCGAATCCTAGTTAATTCGTCCTAATTAACATGGAATCGGCTACTAACTCGGCATTTCAACTTGCCAAGGATCTGGACTATCCACAAAAGCAGGATCAGCATCACCGATGCAGTTTGACATCGTTTGTGCCTCTTTGTATACGAATTGCATCGCGTTGCATCATAGGGAAAGATTTCAGTTCAGGCTGCTTTCAGTCAATAGAATATAGCGTTGTTTTTCTTCTTTCTAATTCCATTAGAAATTCAACAGTTGAGGGGGCATCTACAAGGTAGAAGTGAAGTCTATAAATAGGTATAATATCAGCTTCTATTCCAAGTATGAGATTAGGCGGGTTGAAATTTTATTTCTTGCACCAAGTGTTACTTGCAAGAATCCAATTCACCACATACTCGGAGTATATTTCCATCTGTACTATTTTGAAGGGAATCTTGAAGCAAAAGCCGCTGGACTCGAATATATATATATATCCGGCAAAAAAGCATGGCAAAACAAAGGCCGAGACAGTGTGAACCCCAACTTATACATAAATTTCTAAGTGGATTAAAAGCAAAATAGAAAATACTAATAATTCCCAAGGCTTTGTATGAGTACCTACCGAACTCAGGGGTATCCTTGTTCTCTATCAACCAAGTGTTGCTCCAAGTGTTACCCCAAGAGCAATACGGAAATCCCCACAACTCCGCGGGGTAAATGTTTGTGTTCATTCTTCCCACTCTCCAACCATGCCCGAAATCAATTCTACAGCCCTCGAGGCTCTGCGGAGCCGCCTAAAGACCGCGACTATCTATACACCTGAATCAGAGAGTTACAAAGATGTTATAGTCCGATGGTCGGACACTGGAATGAAATATGCGGTACGCAACATAGACATAACAAACAAGCCGACCGACTGATAAATTGCAGGGTGTCGTAGTCCAACCCATTGATGCGTTGGATATCTCAGCCGCACTGTCGTGGGCACAAGAGCATAGTATCGACCTTGCTGTGAAAGGTGGAGGTCATTCATGTGCCGGCACAAGCTCGAGTGATGGTGGCTTGGTCATTGATTTGTCGCGCATGAACCAAGTGACGGTGGATACCGAGCAGAAGACTATCACTACCCAGGGCGGAGCAACCTGGAAGGAAGTGGATGATGCCGGTGCAGCTCACGGTTTGGCCGCTGTAGGGGGTACCGTGAACCATACCGGCGTTGGCGGACTCACATTAGGGGGTGGTTATGGCTGGCTGAGCGGAGCGTACGGCCTCACTATTGACAACCTCCTGTCCGCGACCGTCGTTTTAGCCGATGGTCGTATTGTCACGGCCTCTGCCACCGAGAACACCGACCTCTTTTGGGGGTTGCGAGGTGCAGGGTACAACTTTGGCGTTGTGGTGGATTTCACTTACCAGGCCTATGACCAGAAAGATCATGTGTACTCCGGGCTCCTTGGATTTACTCCTGATAAGTTGGAAGGAATTATGGATGCATTGAACGAATCTCTAGCTAATCCCGACTCTCGCTTTGGTGCGATGTGCATTTTTACGTTGGCACCTGATGGATCTGGGCCGATGATTCTCGTGATTGGTTTCTACAACGGCCCACGCGAAGAAGGCCAGAAGAAATTTGCCAGTTTCACAGCCCTTGAGCCAGTTCTGAATACCCTTGATATGATCCCATACTCTGTGGTCAACACCCTACAGAACCCCGCAGCGACCTACGGTGATCGGAAGTCTTTCAAGGGCATTTTCTATGCGCCGCCATTGGATCCTCACTTTGCCAGGGTGATCTTCAATGATTTCATGGCTAAGATTGAGAGTGACCCAGATCTCAAGGCGTCTGCCATCATTCTCGAGTTTACCGACATGCGCAAGATTTGCGAAGTGCCGCTGACTGCAACCGCCCTGGCAAGCCGAAACCCTACTCAGAATGGCATCATATTTTTGAGATGGACCGACTCCTCCAAAGACCTTCAGCACCGTGCTTGGGCACGGGAAGTCCAGTCCAAGTGGAAAGCTGAGTTGGATGCCAGAACCACAGATCACGGTGTGGAGTTGAGCGTGCCTCAGTATATCAACTACGCAGAACGTGAGTCCACTGCACCCAAAAATATTTGCACCTCGATAGATACTAACCTCATACCCAGCTGGTGACTCGGCGGTAAGCAATATCTACGGCGTGAACCTCGAGAGACTGCAAGAGGTGAAGGCGAAGTACGATCCAAAGAACGTTTTCCACAAGATGCAGCCAATTCCAACGGGAAAGGACTAGTATGAGAGAGGACTCGATGAAGTGAAAGAAAGCGGTTGATAGCTGGCCTGCTCTTGAAATCGTTTCTGGGACTTGTTCTCCGAGCAATTTGCGTTTTCCTTTGATGTGATTGCACAGAAGGATCTATATTTAAAGGACGTACAGTTCTATTTATAACCAGGAGAATCAGGAAAACAGATTACAACAAATTGAGGGATGATATGTCCTATTCAGCTATACATAACACTCAGAGCCGTGGAAGAATGTTGTACTTCACAGCCTTCACAGTAGTCCAACCCTCGAGAGCATCCTCACCCATGTCGCGGCCAAATCCACTTTGCTTCACTCCTCCAAATGGAACATTGGGACTGAGCATCGCCCAGGCATTGACAGTCACTTGGCCTGACTCAAGTTCCTTGATCACGCGATGAGCGCGGTTAACATCATTGGTAAAGATGGCCGCACTGAGGCCGTGATGAGAGTCATTGGCTTTGAAGATGACTTCCTCCTCCGTGGTGAACTTGGCAATACTCTAAAATTTATGACCGGATTAGCATTCAAAATCACGAAGTCGTGCATGGAAACGTGCTTACCGCAACAGGGCCGAAGATCTCCTCTCGCATGATTGTCGCATCATCGCCAACGTCCGCGAACGCGGTGTTTTCAACGAAGTATCCCTTATCACCAATCCGCTCACCACCAAATAGAAGCTTGGCTCCAGATTGCTTTCCTTGACGAATGAAGTCAAGAATCTTCTCATGCTGCACACGACTAACTACCGGCCCCTTTGTAGTAGAAGCATCCAAAGGATTACCAGCGACTGTCGGAGCATCAGCAGCGGCCTTTTTGTAAGCCTCGATGAATCGATCATAAATAGAGGCCTGAACGTATATACGCGATCCAGCCGCACAAATTTGTCCATTGTTGGCTGTGATTCCAATGCGAGTCCAGAGAAGTGCGTTTTCAATATCGCAGTCGTCAAAGACAATAGACGGACCCTTGCCACCGAGTTCAAGACTGACTTTCTTCAGGTTGGTTCGGGATGCTGCTTGCAAGATCTTACGTCCTGAAAGTTCACTACCAGTGAAGGCAATCTTGCGTACATCCATATGTTCCGACAAAGCTTGGCCTGCGCTAGCGCCTTCGCCCGTAACGATATTCACAACTCCAGGAGGAATGCCGGCTTCCTTCACCAGCTCGGCAAGCTTCTGGCCGTATAGTGGGGATAGCTCGGAAGACTTGATAATCAAAACGTTACCGGTGACCAGAGCAGGAGCCAGCTTCCAAATAGTGATCATCCTGAGAACATGTTAGAAGTCTTTGAGGTTCCGGAGTGAGTACGGGTCGCTGAGAAGGGAAGGCTTACAGCGGAGCATTCCAAGGCACAATCGCACCACAGACACCCAAAGGCTCGCGATGCGTATAGGCAATGCCACCATCCATGTCAAGTGTCTTGCCATCAATCTTCCCGGCCCAGCCTGCATAATATCGCAGACAGCCGAGTGTCTGCGGGATGTTCATCCCGATTGAATCAGTATACAGAACGCCTGCATCGACGGCCTCTAGTGATGCCATATCCTGGGCATCGCGCTCAATCAGATCTGCAAGTTTGAGCAATAGCTGGGCTTTGACTGGTCCAGGAACTGTTCTCCATGTTTTGAGTGCTGACTTGGCCGAATCCACGGCCTTGTTGATATCCTCCGGGCCTGCAGCGGAAATTGTTCCAAGTTTATCTCCAGTCGAGGGGTTCTCCACTTCTAGGGTTTGACCGGTAGAAGAGGGGACAAATTCATTGTGGATAAAAAGCCCCGTTGGAACTAGGAGGGTTAGCGACGGTCATATCTAGGGCTAAGGACGGACTTACTTGTAATTTGGCGGCCTTGGATGCCCGTGACAGTCAATTTCGAAGACATTTTTATTGTTGTGGGAGAAATTAGTAGTCAGATAGGCAAAATCCTTCATACTGTAGACGTTTTATATGCCTTTCGTATCTGATTTCTTCGGAACGTTCCGTCGCGCGGAACTGTCATCAGTCCATAGGGCCCACAATTCCCGAGGTATGAGGACTAATCGGTCCTCGAAAGAGGGGACAATAAATTGTTTGGAGCGGATTTGATTAAAGTCCTCGAAATCGATGACAGAGATTGCATATGAACAAGAATGGACGGTCACCCCCAAGACGCTGCTTTTGTGTGCAATTTTCGTGTTTTATCTTCTAGTTGTAGAGTGCAAACAGGGGCATAAAGCCAAAAACTTTTTGAAGCGCATGACATTCTCCCTTATATAACCATTGAAATGAAACGTTCATCATATCATCATTCCCTTATCCGACGGGACCTATCCTGTGTGTTTCAAGATGACAACGGAGTAGTGACCGTGGACGGAGATAAACGGCGTAAGCCTCTAGCTATGGCTGGTATTCGGTCAATCCTTTGAACTCTACACCGACATTCCTTGACCGCTGTGTCAAGTCTGCCTCAGATAACCTCAAGACTGAACGGAGGAACTCACGATGCCCTCTATTTAGCTTTCCAAAAAGCCCAGGCCAAGACGAGCAAGCCCTTAATACCAGCCGACAGCCAGAGAATGGGAGCAACCCCCCGGTGACTTTAGTAACCCATCCACCGACGATGGCGCCCACGAGAGTTAGCACAAACGCAATAATCCGCCGGTCGCGTTTCACATTCCTGATAAGAAACAGCTGGGGGTCTGACATCAAGTCGCAGAGAAGACTGGTAATCACCACGGTCGGGATCTCATTGTATCCCAAGGCACGACTCGCTACAATCTGACCGGCAGACTGGATACTAAGGAGAATTATCGGGACTTCCTGATCCCATGGGGGTGCTGTTTGTGATCCTTTACCGGCTAGCGTACTAGAAACGGCACCTCCTTGAACCAGTCCAGCCGTAAGTAGGATTATACTGGCCTGTAGCAGAAAAGACAGCATCAATGATACTCGTCGCCGAGTACCTAGGATGCGATGTAAGCGTGCGAAAAGGAAGGATCCCAGGATGAAACATCCGATGGACGTGAGCGAGCGTGCCCAGCCATATGGACGGAGGTTTTGGTGTGATGCACCAAGTCCGACGAAGATGGTATTTCCTACAAGCCATGGTGATTAGCCGACCCTGATATGGGATTGTGGATGAGTGAGGTTCTGATCTTACCTGTTTGCATAGAGACAAAAGTGTTGTAGGCTATGTATGTTAGTGTCAAATGTGCCACAATTGAGTATACGGGACCTGGACTTGTTCCTACCTCTGTATATCGTACTATCCACAAGTCCCGATGTCAAACAACAAGCAAAAAGTAGGAGGTCGGCATGCTCGGGCTCGAGTTCAGCCTTTAGAGATGTTGAAAGTTCACCGAATGCATCCTTTTCATGGTCCATCTTGGATGTTATTGACTACAAGGAGAGAGAAATGAAGAGGATGATGGAAACACAAAGAGACACAGGGAACCATCGAAATTAAACACAACTGACAGAGGCATTTTTTTTTCTTTTCCGTGGCGATTGAAGGACAAGTGAATAAACTATGAAATCTGCCAACGCTTCCTTCCCCTCCCATCCCCCGGTCAATCGCGTCATCTCACCTAATTGATGCACCCCAAGACGGGGCCAAGATGGAGCGAAAAACTCCGAAGCTCCGCGGACATCTAAGGAATCTGCAGGAATTGAAACGAGATAAGGATAGCCACTATCACATGTCGTGCATAGCGCCCTTGGTGTTTCCGTTGGAAGGGGCCGTAGACCAAGCCGGCTGCATACCAACTTAGTCTCCGATGCACGCCTAGAGTGCCAAGGATGACCCGGTGGGATGCGCGTCGGCCGGCTGCTTGGCGGCAGCTTTCTTCCCCCAAACCCCATCTGCAGACAGGACTTATGTCACTATGGGTTTTCATGGAGGGGTTGATGTACGACCCGCTGTGCATAACCCCCAATCCTTGTGGCAGCCAAGCGTCTCAGGGCCTCAAGACACAACCTCCCGATAGGGCGATGCCGAAAACAATGAGGCCAAGACGGACGGCAACAATAGCGCAAATCTCTCTAAGGCAAATCCAACATTCATCCCTCCATCTCGGCCTTGAGAACGTCGATATCCAATTCTGCCATGACGCCAAGCACTACACCTAGATTTTCCATAAATCCATTGACAGAAACACGCAGCATACGGTTGGTTGTCGCAATATATTTTACCATCAACACGGTTTTAGCCTCATCGGGGTCTTGCTTTTGCTTCTTTTCCTGCGGCTGGGATGGTGCTTCGACCGTCGGAGTCCCGAGGGTGAGAGTCCGTTGTACGAAAGGAGATAGTTCGGCGTCAACTTCCAAAGCGCGTAGAGCGCATGATGCAAGACGATTGGTTGGGAGAGGTAGGGATATTGTGCTAAGTCAAAAGGTGAGTATTGCTTGCCCTTGTTTTGGAGCTAGTTTGGAGGTGGGGGAGGGGCTTACAGTGAGTAAGGGAACTCGGGATTGGTTGGTTGTGTGGGAGCCATGATAAGCGTGCTTGAGTTGGTAAAAGTAAAAGCGGATCGTCCTTTTGAGTGTAAGAGGGCGTATTCCAAGCAACAGGGGTTAAATGAGTTCCTGGTATAGTGAGGATGGTGGGGGGTTAGAAATTGGCGATGCAGTTCGGAGTCCCAGAGGAGGAATTCCGGCCCGGGGGAAACTGCATGGCTGACTCAGCTCCACGGTGACGGATCCACCTGGGCATAGCCCAATAAGGTTAGAGGAGTCTTGACTTACCTACCTTGGCACTTCGTGTACACAAGGTACACATTGCACGACAGTACGCGTTGATTCGCTACACAGCACTACAATAGCACCTTTTGTGTTTTTTCGGGTGATGATCTCCCGGTCTGAAGAGCTTGGCGAACGAGGGTCTTTGTGGAACGGTGCATTGAGCCAAGAGAAGCGACCCCTCTGAAGATGCGTGGCGAAGATCTCTCCTGTGAAAACAACGCAAAATGCATTGCAAAACTTTACAATATGCAGTCATCTTGCCAAGGTACTCAGATTGATTAAATTTCTCTGAGAAGCAAGCCCTCAGGATCAACATAGTGGGTCGAGTTCCCCGTCTCCAGCCTATCCCAATCAACTTGGAAAGCCCAATATAAACGTGCATTATCTAGATCTTGGCTCTCCGTACGGAGATATATGTATGCGACGCTATTGTGGCTCTTGATTGATGGGAATAATTTGAACACCTGCCCCCGCGACTAGCGCTGTTAATCTTGCGCAATTAGTCTCGCGCAATTAGTCTCTTCATGGACTCACTCAGCTGAGGTCATCTAGGATCAGTACGACGCGAAGGAAGATAAGCCATCTGAGCGTCTTGGCAGATGGTGGAATGTTACATCCCAAAGAAATCGAGACTTTTGCCTTTGGTGAGATGCTTTTGTCCTCTACGAGCAGGCAGACATTTCTCCTCTGGGACTGGCGTCTCTGCACGTAGCAGAACTCGCTTGCGGGGCATAGAACTGGAAAATATAAAGAGCAGCATTGTCCTTCGACTGTAGTACAAGAATCCAACTGTCCAAACAAAAAGACATCTCCTTTACCAAAGTTCAAACATGACTATCACTATCACCGTCGAGAAAGATGGATACTACGAGGTCAACGGGACCCGGCAGGAGCCCACTGTCTCTCTCTATGTGATTCCTGCAGCTTCCAAGTTGCGTCGCATGCTGAAAGACACCAAAGAGCTTATCGTGTGTCCTGGTGTGTATGATGGCCTCTCTGCTCGCATTGCCATGGAGGTTGGTTTCAAGGGACTGTACATGGTAAGAAATATGATCTCTTAACACCACCTCACTGTATGCTAACCAAGCTCACAGACTGGTGCTGGAACTACCGCATCACGCCTGGGAATGGCTGATCTCGGGCTGGCCCAGCTTCACGACATGAAGACCAACGCTGAAATGATCGCAAACTTGGATCCCTTTGGACCTCCATTGATTGCAGACATGGATACTGGCTACGGAGGTTAGTGATCCGCACTTTGAAAATAACAGACCATTATCGCTTGTTTGAAAAGGAGTCTAACTTTCTTCAAGGCCCTCTAATGGTGTCAAAGTCTGTGCAGCAATACATCCAGGCGGGCGTGGCTGGCTTCCATATTGAGGATCAGATCCAAAACAAGCGTTGTGGCCACCTCAATGGCAAGAAAGTCGTTGGCCTGGAGGAATACCTCATGCGAATTCGTGCCGCCAAGCTGACCAAGGATCGCTTGCACTCGGATATTGTTTTGATTGCACGGACCGATGCACTCCAGCAACATGGCTACGAGGAGTGCATCCGCCGGCTGAAGGCTGCCAGAGATATTGGAGCTGATGTTGGACTACTTGAGGGCTTTACTTCAAAAGAGCAAGCCCGTCAAGCAGTCCAGGATCTGGCACCTTGGCCTCTTCTTCTCAACATGGTTGAGAATGGAGCCAGCCCTCTCATTACCACAAAGGAGGCCGAGGAAATGGGCTTCAGAATCATGATCTTTTCATTCGCCACCATTACCCCAGCTTACATGGGCATCAAGGCCACTTTGGAGCGCCTCAAGGCAGATGGAGTAGTCGGTGTACCTGACGGACTAGGGCCACGAACGATCTTCGAGGTTTGTGGTTTGATGGATTCCATGAAGGTCGACGCGGAATCCGGAAATGACGGGTTTGCCGACGGAGTCTAATATCTAGGTGGTAACTAGTATTGATATATGCATGTTTTGCGTTGGACAAGCAACGGAGTTTCTATTAGCTAGATATTCAAATTGGAAGCAACAGTCGCAATATACAATTTCCCCGCATATGTCATCGTTTTAAATCTCATCCGAGTCTCGGTCATCTTCGTGAGATTCCATTTCATCGCTCATTTCAACCGAAGGGGTTACCGGGGGAATTCTTTTCACAATCTCCTTTTCCACGATAGACCATTCGCCCTTTTGAAAAACCTTATATAAACCAGGCCACAAGCTAGCTTGGACGAATCCATCCGAGGTATCTTCCTCTGTGAGCGTACGCATTTTCTCATCCCGGAACGGTAATCCATATTGATAACTACCCCAAAAGATGTATCTGTCTTCCTGACAATCCAATTTATGTTTGAACTTGATGCAGCGCGCAATAATGTCATGTAGCTGTTGCATGCGTTTTGGTCTGTCGGTGACAGCATAACGACCGAAGCAAACTTCTACCTTCTCGATGATCCAGTTGCACTGTTCTTGTAAACTGGGGGCTTCTAAGGATAGGATGGCAGAGCTCATCGCACATCTCCAATGCCGGGAAATGTGGTTAGAGACTTCTGTTGTTAGAAAGTAGTAACAATGGTGATCCTTTTCTGGGCGCTTACATTGTTTATCTATTTCGGAGTCGATCTTGCGAAGATAATTACTCCAGAGGTGATCAGCTCCAACCATAAATCGGTTCCAAAACGACCGATAAATTAGCGTGGCAATGTCCGCTTGGATGATATCCAATGTTGAGATATCAAGCATATCTGATCTTGACGTGGGATGCGTGGCATTGTTTCTTTGTTGCGGTGTTGGCCTTGCCGTGAAATGAGTAAACCTCCAGTGTGCAAGATCATGGTAGAGTATACACATCTCTCGCTTAGCTTCTTCATCGGGGAATGTCTCAATCCCAGCTTGTAGGCTTGCTATCTTGGTCATGAGGATCCGGTTCTCTTTTCTGGCTACTTTTGCTTCGTTAATAGCATTTTCGAGAAGTTCGCCTCGTTGACGAGCCTGCTCCTCTGCGAGTATCCGTCCCCTCTGAAAGAACCCTACTTTTTGTTCTGCGATTTTGATTCGCTGGTTTGTTCGTTAGATAAAACCAAGTGCGGAGGGAACGTTCATCACAGACCTCATGGAGCTGTTCAACCTCGTCACACATGGGCTTATGATCCACGCAAGCTAATGAATTTAGCGAATTCCATGTAGGCCATGGTGGTAAAAACGAACCAACAGTAACCTGTCCCCATTTCGAGGACGAATCTGGGGAGGTTTGAGTACTCTTGTTCGCCTGTTCAGGCTCCGGTTGGTCTTGAGAACACATTGCGTGCCGATAGTTGAATGATGGGAAGTTTGAAATACAATTTTTACTCATGAAACATTCTCCAAATCGATGACAACACAATTACCTGATGTGGTAGGAATATGCCTCACGCCGACGCTCATTGCGGTTAAGCGCAGGAGTCGATGATATCAAACTTGCGAAACAGCAAACATTTGATCGAAGAAATATCATTTATTAGTTTCCCATGCCGTAGAAAACTTTTCACTTCCATTACTTTCCAAGACTCGCTAAGAAAGACACAAGGTACAAATTCAATATGGCGACCACAGAGGAGCGACCAAAACTCATAGTGGGTGTTGACTTCGGAACAACCTTCAGCGGGTAAGTATCCATGGATATCATATGTTGATGGTAGTGATGGAGTAGTTGACTAACATTTACAGCGTTGCCTGGGGGTTGAAAGACTGCCCTGATGAGATTGAACTTATTCAAACATGGCCAGGTGGTGGCAACAGTGAGTCTAGAAGACAGCAGACAAGTTCATGAAACTAAATATTCAACAGTCACAAGCCAGAAAGTTCCAACCCTATGTTCCTACGACGGCAAGCATACGAAATGGGGTTATCAAACTGACCAGTTGATCCATCCGGGCAAGGAGCAGCGGCTCATCCAAGGAGTCAAGCTTTTGCTAGATGAAAGCCAGAAATTCCGCTACACACCTGCTAGTAAATCTCAAGAGGTTATAAAAGACCTGAATAAAACACCGATGGAGGTGGCTGGTGACTACTTGGGGAAATTAGTCGCCCACGCCCAGGATGTCTTGACACGCCGCTTTAGTACTGCGCTGCAAACCATGGACTTGGAATATATCCTCACTGTCCCCGCTGTATGGTCTGACAAAGCCAAAGATCTTACTATGCAGGCCGCACACCGAGCTGGTATATCTCCTGCGAGTTTGGGACTCCTGTCTGAGCCGGAGGCAGCTGCGGTGTGTGCAATTCGGACAATTCAACCAAATACAATCGCGGTATGAATCTCATCTCACTATGAATTGGAATTGATAATCTGACCAAATGTAGGAAGGAGACTGCTTGGTTGTCTGTGATGCTGGAGGTGGAACAGTCGTGAGTCTTCCTAGTATGGAACTGATTGGATAAATTTGAGTGACAATCATTATAGGATATCATTACCTATCGCGTCAAGGAAGCCGACCCTTTGAGGTTTGAGGAAGCCACGAAAGGAACTGGTATTTATCAAAGGCTCGTACACTTATACTCTTGCTTCTCTCTGACACATTCTAGGCGCTGTTTGTGGCTCAGTGATGTTGGACGAAAGATTTGACGCACTTATCAAAGACCTCATTGAGGAACAGTCAGACCAACCGATCCCCCAGTCTACCGTAAGGGCTGCAAGGAAGTACTGGCAAGACTACATCAAGCCTGGCTACACAGGTCCTCTCGACGACAATGAGATGTGTGAGCTAGGATATTGGATCCCAGTTCCCGGGGTTTCGGGGATCTCAAACGTCGAACTTAGCGAGGGGCACTTATATCTAGATAGGTACGTATAAGAATATCTTTACTTCACCACCTCAACTATGGGCCACTCTAATCCAGATACAGGGAACAAGTGAAGGGAATTTTTGATCCTATCATCGAACAGATCAAGGATCTTGTCACTGAGCAGAGAATGAGCGTCAAGGAAGCAGGTTTTTCAACTAAGGTAAACTCCCAAAGGACTTTTAAAAAAAAGGCTCGTTTAATTTAAATTAGGCTATCATTCTGGTTGGGGGCCTTGGAGCCTCGGAGTATCTCTTTAAGCGTCTACAGGCTGCTTCCGACGGCATCCAAGTCATGCAGCCCCCAAACGCGTAAGTCCTTGACCTCTTGCTAACTGAACCCAATACTGAAGTAATAATAGGTGGTCTGCTGTTGCCCGGTGCGTATGCAAATCATTCTCAACACTTGCTTTGTACCTAACAGGCTTAGGGGTGCTGTTATCCGTGGCCAGGAAGGCAACCAAGTAGAGAGTCGCATTGCCAGATGCAGTTATGGCGTTGATATATCAGTTCGGTTTGATTCCAAAGTCCACCGCGCAGATGAAAACCTTAGATGGTGCCCCTATGAGGAGGAATGGAGGGTGGACAATCGTATGACATGGTATATCCGCAAAGTGAGTAACCTCCAGTGTCATGAACATATTCCTTGGAGGCTTTAAGTGCTCAACTGAGGAACTTTGAGGGAAACCCCGTGGCCGAGAGTGAGCCAATAGCGATGAACTTCTACCGTGCGGTTGGAGTTGACCACTCTTTTGTATTTCGGTCAAATTTGTGGTTTTGCCAGATGGCCACACCTCCCAAAGAGAAGAACTCCAGTATGCCCCGGTGTTGCTAATATATAAGACGTATTTTACTAACTTGGACAGGTGTCGCGAAACTGTGTGTGCTGGAAACAGATCTGAGCAGAATCCCGAAAGAGCTTTTTGAAAAGAAGAGGAACTCCAAAGGGAAACAATTTTACCACGTCAGGTACGACTTGGTTTTAACACCAACCTCTGCATCGTTGTTGTTTGATCTACAATTCAATGGTGTTTCCTACGGGAGCGTGAGATCTCGCTATTGAATTCTACTACGGTCAGCCAGGAGAGGTATGTACCAAGATATCTGGTTTGAAAGGGACTTTTCGCCTATGATAAGCGGGGCTATGTTTCTTCCAGGCTCAATCGCTTGATCGCTTGAAAATGGCTCCATGATACAGTTGAGAAGACAGAGATAGCTAGCAATATGAACCTGATATTTTTTTTTCTTAGAATGGAGTATGTAAGGCAAAGCGTTCTAGCTAGTTTCACCGATGTTCAATATCAACCATCCCTGCTACCCTGAAAAACAGCCAAATGTTGCAACCCCGAGCCTTCCAAAACATCCAACGGCGCCACAAAGGCCATCTGACCCCATGAGAAAACTTGATTCTTTCCGCCGTAGATGAAGACTTCAAAACGGCCGACAAAGGCCCCATCCACCCACACACGACTTCCATAGATCTCCTCCGTGGAAATAGTGACCTGTGAGTTGCGGGGGATTGTCACAACCTCGTGGCTTGAGGTAGTCTTGTTAGCCCAGATTCGTCCAGGTTGGTCTTGCTCGAAGCCATCGGCCTCAGCAACAGATCGAAGTGGGTATGGCCATCCATCGGAAACAAAAGTCAATTCACCGTCTGATGACAATGTAAGTGTCGCATCGGAGGACTGTAAAAAGAATGGACCCGTGATGTCTAGTTCGAGGGTATAACCCATTCCCTTACTGCCATAGCCTAAATTATATTTATCTTGGTTGGAGTTTGTTGCTGGCCTTTTCCAGGAAAGCAGAGGTCCTGATCCACGACTCCTTTCTCCTGGGAGGCGTCGGTCAAGATTTTGTCCCACGGCTTGAGATGATAATTCTGCGATAGATTTTCCCAAGGTTTGATCGTGCAGGCGAGGTCCACGCGCACCACACCATGCTTGTGAAGCCACGACCGGGATGCCATCACGGATTGCATAGTAGGCTTCTAGTTGAGTAGTGGCGTCCGGCCCGCTGTCATTCCAGGCAGCCAAAAGAGCACCTGGTACAGCTGTTGCATCCGGTTGTTCAGTCGTGTTCACGGGGTTGAAGAGCTCCGGTGTCCACTGCCATCCGTCCTGATCGGCGAAGTTGAGAACGCGGGCATTGTTGAAGAACTGAGGATAGGGGGCTGGGCTGATAGGCACATGGTTGCTTTTCAGCGACATATAGGCCCACCAATCCTCCGAGTTGATGACTTGGTAGCCATTGTTGGCTAAATCAACTGGATCTGACTGCCCATACTGCCAGTGTTGAATGGTCACATTCTTATCAATGGTAATGTTTGATGGCTCGTATGTTCCCCAAATACGGACACTTTTGCCAGATGTTTCTTGCACAAAACGGGACATTTCGTTCACAAACTCAACATAGTCATCAGCAAAGTTAGGATCGTACTCATCGGCGCCGATGTGCACCTCCTTTGTGTGGAACCAAGGAAGGAATTCGGCCCAAATGGACTTCATCAAAGGAACAGTGTCCGGATGGGATAGATTAAGCAGGTCCTTGGAGTCCAATGCAAGCTTGGGTCTCCATTTCGTAACCGTGAGACAATGCCCGGGGCTTTCAATTTCCGGCATCACTGTAACACCTCGCTGAGCACAGTGGTGCTGGAAGTCATCAAACTCAGCCCGGGACAAGGTTTCATTAGCACGCTGGACAAGAGGATGAAGAGCCTCGTTTTCGGGATGCAAAGAGAACTGCGAGTAGACGTCATTCCACGTCTCATTCTGACCGCGACTCAGTGGGTAGTTGTCAGTCGCATGGTACTGGAACTCGGACATTTTGAAGAACGAGGCATAAGTGCACAGATCCTTCAAGAACTCCAGGGAATACCATTTGCGACCGGCATCTAGCAGAAACCCACGAGTTGCGTAGGCGGGGGCATCTGCCACGCGACCGGGTGGTAGGGATGAGCGTGTCAAAACGAGCTGCTGGAGGAGCGTTCGCGTCCCCCACCACATACCTCGTGCCCCGGAGCCTCGAATATACACACTACCATCTTTGACCTCCAACTCATATCCCTCCTCGGTCTCGCGTCCATTTTCATATGTAAACCGCTCTGGGTTATTTACGCGACCGAGGAATATTCCCGACGCGTGTTCGGGAAATTGCTTGACCGTGCGGAGCTCCCAAGAACTGTTCGTCAACTCCTGTAAGTCATCGCGAAAGGTGTTGGCAAATTCGGATGCCGATGGTGGAAGCAGTGTCAATCCATGTTGATCCTTCCAGCTACCGAAATCGGCATTCAGGTAGATTGTCCGGTCGGTGGTTGCTAATGAAAAGCCTTTGTTATGGTTTGAACTGGTGTTATCAAAGTGCACCGGGGGCAGGATCTGCAGCGCAGACGCGACTGCGGCGAGGGAAAGAACAATCCACTTCATATCTGGACATTGTGATGTTTCTACGATGGGAACCGGCCTTTTTATGCAAAGCAAGGGGTTGTATCCAGTGGCAGCGTTACATTCCTGATTGTACAGGGGCGTGGGGGTAGGGGGGTTTGCGGGGAAACGTGAAGTTTATATTGGCACAGTGGTGGCCATTGTGGATATTCTACTTCCTCTACTTCTTGCGGTAGAGATAAGAAGGTTGTATTAACAGACTGAACTGATTAAATTTCCTTTGCTTACCCGCTGGAAGACGCCGATGAGATGTCACCCGTTTAATCTCAATAGACATGGTGCGGGGGAATTTTTATTTCTTGCAGATCATTGCTGTTTCTCGCTTTTCATCGGCATAGATGTCTTTTTGAATATTGACAAATTTCTTCGATTCACTGTTTCTCGTGGGGCGAGGAGGGGGAAAAAACCATAGAATCAACTTTTTTTCAAATATACATACCACTCTATGTGGTCTATATCTCTTTGGCCCATTTTCTATTTCCGTCGTTTCGCTTTTCTCCGGGCAATTGGTTGGAAGAAAACCGGCCACGATACGATTAATTAGGAATACTATAGATGTAAGTAAATATGCACCCAAGAAGAAGTGCCGCGATGTCATCTGCTCAAGATTCTGGTATATCCGGGGTTTCCATAGCTGCTTGAACATGGACAGGGAGAACAAACGTATTTCCCAGTCCTGTCCAGTGAAGGGCATCAAGTCTTGCAAGCCCGAGTTTCACAAGTGGGAAGCTTTGGCTTTGGCATCGCAGAACCTGTAGCCACGAGTCTACTAAATGCTTTCCCCGGACTGCATGTGCCATATTTGGTGCCTGTACCAGTAGCAACATGAGATAATTTGAAATTGTAGCGAAGCCGATTCGTGACCCTATAACGTTAGATATTAGCACCAAGTCAGATGAGATAGTGGAAGGCAACCCGAGAAGCTTACATGAATACCAGAATGCCGTGAAATCACTAGACGTCAGTCGTCTCGCAAAGTTCACCAATATGGAAGCACACTTCTCTGCCGCTTGTAGAGTGGCATCGCCAGTACCAAACTCATCGGAGATAGATATTTCCGGTAATGATTCTATTTCCGGTAGGTCCATGAAGTCTAACATCGACTCATCTACGGGCAATGGTGACGTGGCAGACAAATCTTCCAAGTCAAAGATAAGCGGCGGTTCAGATGATCGCGCCATCGGTCTGAGCATCGCACGGTAAACATAGACCACGAGTAACAGGTAAGCAAAATGGATCGAGGTGGGGTACGGAGCAAGGCCATTGACGGATTTGCTCCAATTAGGAAGTCGAAAAGTCTCTGGGAGAGAGGAATACCAGCCATTCAACTTTTCAAGCAGCCCGCGGCCTAGCTCGGCCGAGGCGATGAAGTTTGCGTTCAAGAATTGGGAGGCCCGGAGCGTGCTACGTATTAGGGTCAGCAAGATTGGACCTTCGCCGGCCAACGATCAACAGGCTCTACTGAGAGTGAACACTTACTAGAATGTATCATGGATCTCTTCGCCGATTCGTGTGAGATTGACAAGATATCGGAATGGAATCTCGGTATCACAGGAACTGGTTGAGAATCCTTGTCGTGGGCCCACTAAAAAGTCCCCTTCATCCAATTCACTCACGTCCCACTCTGCGGGATGGATATATGGTGGACGTCCCATCAGCAAACTGCGCCATTTATCCTCGGCATACACGGCCCACCACAACCGCCGGCGGAGGCGCTTTTCCCATGCCGGAATGCCCCACATGCGGCATTCGATGTGAAGGCCGAGGGAACAGGCTAACCCAACGATTTGGCCGACGAAGGACCACAGAAACGGGGTATCGGCGGTCGTGAGGCGGGTCTCATCTTTTGGTTGTTGGTGTATATATAACAGTGCTGCTTGCAGCACGGCCAAACGGGGACTATGAATCTCTTCGGTCACGAGTTCATAGACCATCCGCCACAAGGTGTCAACTGGTGACGCATTATACGTGCTCAGCACGCAGAGATAGTCATCATGGGCGACAAATGGGAATGCTGATGCGTAGATGGCCGCGAGAAGGTGCACGGGCACCTTTTCTAATGCCGACAGCTCCGGTAGCTGATATGTCGCCGCAGTCAACCCTAGTTGCGAACGGGAAATGATTGGCAGGGCAGGGAAGACATACTTGACAAATCTGGTGTTCTGTTAGTTCAGTGATGCTTCGGTCGTATATTGAGGGGTAATACTCACAAAGCTACCAGCCTTCTTCCATACTCAGGGGGCACTAGATAGTTCAGGCGTTCCCGTGTCGCTTCGCCGACGCCGGCCCTAGTTTCATGCTTAATGGAGGTAGTAAGTTCTTCTGATGAAATCATGAAGTGTATTGGAATTCTCTGTGCTGTAGGGACACCTCCGGCGTTGCGAAAGTGCACTTTGTAGAAATATTTCATGCCAGAATCGTCAAAGCAACAGTGCCTTAGCAGCCATGGGTCTGATTCCGCCGATGCGCCGAAAAGCTGGGCATGACCGTGTTCCAGTTGATCAATGCTCTGCACGAATTGTGTTGGGGGTCTTCCGGAGCCTAGAACACCGGAGCCTGGAGATACCCCAGTAGTACTCGGATCGAGGCCGATGGGTGGAAATCGTGGTTCGACGCTTTGTGTTCCACTCCCTGCCCAACTCGACTCGCGGGTGAAATTGCTGTCGCATGGTTGAGAGACAAGTGCGTTCCCATCAACACTTTGGGGAACAAAAGGGGAAAAGTTCCCTGTGCTTCGGGCTCTTTTTGGTGGCGGATTATCAAAGGTACACTCCAGTTTGGCCGATCGGCATCGTTGACAGGGGCCTCCGCCGTCAGTTTGACAGCCCAGCTTGCGGGCACGGCATTGATCACACGGGCGCTGACGTTTTGACCGATATGGCCTAGCAGAAAGGGGAGACGACATGACTTGTTTCAGCTGATCGGCGAACGCAAGGAATGCAGGCTAATGCGCATTTATCAGGTCATTCTAGTGAAGAAATTGTTCGGCGAACGAAGCACAGTGGGCGGCCGAGATGGGTGGCCGAGATCAGTGGCTGAGATGGGTGGCCGAGACGACTGGCCGAAGTCACAGGTAAGAAAATTTCCACACTTGGTAGAGCGAAACAATCAATGCCCAAAGATGCGAAAGATGTCAGTGAGTCGGCCGCAGAGAACGACGTCATCTGCCGGTCTCGGCGAACCGACCGGCGAACACAGTATAATGGCCACCTCGGCATACGTTCAACGGCCAACGCCTTTTTCGATGCAAATTTTTACTGGAGTAACAGATATAAAGGGCCTAGATATCCTGGCTGTAGATATCTATGTCAATTAAAACAAATATATCCAGCCAAACATAAATTCATTGCTTAACTATCTTAAAACCAAATCTCATACCTCCACTTCCGGAATATCAATTACCATAACCTCACAATGCCTCAAAGCAGCGGGATGAGCCGATACGATCACTTCAAGGCTATTTTCTCCAGACATTCTAGCCCAGAGCGCGAGATCAAGGGTGATACAACATCCGAAATTACACTGGTTCCACAGTATGACTCCCCCAACTATACATATAATAATAATAGAGGATATCACAATGCTAACTATCATTCTAGACAGACACAGCCAACTAGATATTATAAGCGTGGCCTCCCCCAGAACTATAATGGTGAGTACCCCAATTCTCATGAAATGATATGTAACATCAGCTAATGGGGAAACGTTATTCAGCTGCCGACATGTGCTTCGGCTCTTGCTGCAGAAATTGATATCCAATCATCTCAGTGACCGATCATACCAACCTCCTTGGAACCAGGAGGTACTAAAAGCATTTTGATACAACATATGTGTGGGGAACATCTTGAGTCCCTTGTTATATAGAAACTTCATAATTTATAATTTATCAATATCAATATCAATATCATGTTCATCTTTCTCCTTTATCCCAGTTTTAGTATATCAGGCTGTGAGTTAAGGATTAGGTTAGATACAATAAGACTAACTGGTAGGTAGCTTGTGTGAGCGTAGAATGTATAGATGTAGGGGACTCGTCATGCGCGGATACCTGTGGGTTGTCCTTCTTTCTCCCATGCTCTGCTAGAAAGGGCTTTTCACGAGCGGGGTCTGCTAAATTCTATCTATAATTTAGGCAAAGTAGGAAGTGTGGCGATATAAACTCGATCAAACCGTTTTCTCCGCACGGGAAACCGGGGGAGCGGGGTAACAGAAAATGCATAAAAAAAGTACTTTTTGGACTTGTCATATTTACCCGTGGACTGTAGTATGACTGGCGTTGAACTGCATAATTCGTGTTTTATGCTGTTGTCAACTGTATCTGATCTCCCAATGAAGCCCCTAATACCTTTGATTCCCGATGAAAATGGCTGATCATGCTCTTCCACTCAAGCGACCCGAGTACCGAGCTTAACATTTGAGGGGTTCAGTCGAACCCGCGCAGACTCAAATACACCACCTATTGAGATGAAAATCGTCTGCTTCCTTGAGCTATTGTATAATAATGCAATAGAGCTTGATAATCTTATATCCGGCATCTACAACTCAGCACAGTATGATATTTGAACCGGCAGAGAGAATTTTGCTTCCAACAAAGGACCTGTTGTCCTATATTTTTGACGAGCCACCATATGATCAGGACCAGCCTGTGAGTGACAATCAATATCTCAACGTTGTCATCATCCGGCCACCGAATTGACCTTGGTAGATCTACGTTGACGTCAAAAATCCCACCAGGTCGATATCCTGTAACCAGGCACGAAAGCTCGTTCGTCAGCTTATTGCCGGCCTGCGGGCATCTGGTCTCCAAAAAGGCGACTGTGTTCTCATTCATTCCTTCAATGATGTATGCCTGTTCCATTATTCAGTTAGATGAGGCTGTGAGATGCTGACTTATTTTAGATAAATTATAGTATTCTTGTGCTAGCCATTATCGGAGCTGGGGGATGTTTCACAGGCTCGAATCCATCTTACACTCCACATGAGCTCGCTCACCATATCAGGGCCTCCGAAAGCAAGTTCCTTTTCTCCGAGCCCGAGATCTTGGGTTCTCTCATGAGTGCGGTTGGAGAGACGAGTATACCCAAACAAAATGTCTGGGTTTTTGACAATCTGGAACAAGCTATTCCGGATGGAATGAAATCATGGAAGCAGTTATCAGAAGTCGGCGAGGAGGATTGGGTGCGATTCAACGACCTAGAAACCTGCCAACAGACTACAGCGGCGAGGCTGTTTAGCAGTGGCACCACTGGTCTACCCAAAGCCGTCACAATAACACACCACAATCTCATTGGACAGCATGAGCTTGTTCATGGCGTGAATCCACGTTCTTACCCTGTCAGTTCATTCTCAGTATCGACTTGGAAAGAGTTTGGCAAATGAAGTGCAATGGTCTCACTGACACCTGACATGCTCAAATAGATCTCACGGGTCATTGCGGTACCCATTTTTCATGCATCTGCAGCTCCAGTCTCGCATATCTCAACATTGAAAGCAGGCTCAGTCGCATATATGATGCGTCGGTTCGACCTCGAGACATACCTCACTACAGTCGAAAAGTACAACGTCACAGATCTTGCCATGGTTCCACCAATCGTAATAGCAATCCTCATGTCCCCTCTTTCTCAAAAGAGACCTTATCTGCGAAAGGCCCGAATGGCAGGATGTGGGGCGGCTCCATTGGATAAGAATGTCCAAGCCAGGTTCCGCTCGCTGATGGGCGACAACGCCCCATTCACCCAGGTATGGGGAATGACTGAGACGTCTTGTATAGCTACCATGTTTCCCCATCCCGAACACGATGATACGGGATCTGTCGGCCGACTTATCCCAAACCTCGAAGCTAAGTGCGTTTCATCAAATCCCCCCGCCAAATGTGTAGCATCGTGTCAAATCCGCGACTGATATCGTTTCTACCTAGACTTATCGACGAAGATGGAAAGAATATCTCGGCCTTTGGCGTCCGTGGCGAGTTGTGTGTCCGAGGTCCGACAGTGACACCCGGGTACTTCAACAATCCGGAGGCTAATGTCGAGGCCTTTGACTCTGAGGGTTGGTTCAAAACAGGCGATATAGCCTATTGTGACCAGCGTACTCGGAAATGGTATATCGTGGATCGCAGGAAGGAACTAATTAAAGTGCGCGGCTTTCAGGTGGCCCCACCAGAGCTCGAGGCAGTGCTCTTGTCGCATCCGCAGATTGTGGATGCAGCCGTGATTGGGATCACCTTCCCAGGTGCTGATATCGAGTATCCGCGCGCCTATGTGGTTCGACGACCCGGCGATTCAGGGTTCAAGCTAACGGAAGGCGAGATTCAAGAGTATGTGTTGAGCCGCCTTGCAAAATATAAAGCACTCACAGGTGGTGTAAAATTTGTCGGCGCGATTGCACGGAACCCAAGTGGAAAGATATTGAAGAGGGTATTGCGTGAAGATGCTAAGAAAGAAATTGAAGCTGGGCTGATGAAGCCTAAGCTTTAAGCTCAATGCATAGGTTGAATAACTCGATAGCAAGACATTTGCAATAATTGTTTTTTTTTGTCAATTAATCAATGATTTGGAGATCACTTTCAGTAAAATCAATCCCGACTAGTAGCTCTTTAAGTAAGGCGATATAGGAAGCAAACATGTCTCATTGAGATAATCTCAGGATGTGTCTGTCTTGTTGAATTTTGATGTCACGCCTTCTGGGTCCAGGACAGGGGATATGAAAGAGATGTGTTGGGAACATTGGGAAGCATTGGGAAGCATTGGAGTAGTTAGAATAGTAATAGGGGGGGGAAAGTGCAAAATAAAAAAGTCATCGCCCGGAGGCGATCCGGCAGCTCGAGATCAAACGGCACTCAAGCTAAGAATAGGCGGGTTCCAAACAAGCGGTGCTCTAATTGTCTTCTAATTGTCTACAACGACAACCGCTAGACCAAGTGCCCACCCATCCAAACATTTAAACTGGGAAGTAAAATATATCCTCCAAAATGAGGAAGTCATAAAACTAGAAATGTGATTTACCTTTCAGCACAAAAACCTTCTCTTTCGGCTGTGAGACACTATCTTGCCTTGATATCTTCCTATCAAAGACTTCGAATTTGTTTGTAATGTCCAGTGTCCCTACCTGGAAGTGGGTTGTGAATCGGCTCAATGCCGGATCCATGCTGTTGCATCTTCCCCAGCAACTCGTATATCTACCTACGTACTTAGCGCCACTTACACCACTAAAATCCAAATGTCATCAAGAAGAACCCAAAGTGGGGAAATGCGGAGAAGCCGAGTTCCGCGGGTAAGCATATGTTAGTTCAGGGTAAGGGACGTGCCGCAGACCCTATGGATAAAGAGCATTCGATTGGAGATGTCATAGGTTTCATTGATGCAGTGCTATGGGATATCTTGACGCTTTCCATATATGGGCCTTGAAGGCCAACGGGGCTACACTCTGGAATCAGTATCTAGGCAGAGGCTTGTAGTTGGTTCTTGGCTGCTGGTCACCGCAATATCAGGTCAAGTCTTAGTGTACTCAGCCATTCTCTCTAATTAAATCACAGCCTAGGCACAGTGAGTAAAGGTTTGCATATGACAGCGATCTAAAGCCTAAGTACATAATTACCCACGTTGAGTTTGGGATAAGATGCCGAGTCGGCTTCTTCCAAATATTTATGGTTCGACCGTTGATCATTCCCCAGACCCCAGATCGAAGACCTGAGTTTCTCTTGAGCCGTGTTTAAGTTATATCCACTCCGTCATCTCCCCTCCAAGCACCAACGTAAACAAAGACTGAACATCATAAACAAAATGTTGCGACGTATAAAAAGAGCACCAACAGCTTGCTCCTGGTGCCGCCATCGCAAAGTGCGCTGCGATGCAACAAGACTCGGGTCTCCGTGTACCCGGTGCCGACAAGACGGCCGCAGGGAATGTGTACTTCGTGACAATAATCCTAAGCAGTAAGACTATAAGCGAAAAGCTCTCGTTGAGTAGTCACTTACTGAACTCTATCAGGTCATCAGGGTCGGCAAACCCGGCGCACCAAAGTTCAGGATCAAATACTGTGATAACTGGACAGCATTGCGACGACCTGCATCAGTCAAGTGATCATTCAACTCTTGTCTCACAGCTCAGCGCACATGGTCTCAGTTTCGATGATCGTGGGACAAACCCACCCCAATCCCCCGATGTTCCGTATACCGAATACGCCTTCGTCGAGTTGCAACAATCAATGTCGCTCCCTTCCGAGGATGTAGCACTTCTAGCATCGAAAAGGTGTTTGAGCTTGCCAACCTCCAATGCAATCGATGAGTTTGTTCAGGAGTACTTCAAGCATATTCACCCATCGGTACCTGTCTTAGACGAGGCTGAGTTCTGGCGCATTTACCGAAACGATCAATCTACCGGTCCCAAAATATCTCTTTTTGTGCTGCAATCATTGCTTTTAGCAAGCTGCCCAGTCAGTACCATGTTGTCCCTCTGGTAACCCTCGCCCTTGGACTAAACTATAATAGTTTGTCTCTTTAGAAACATTGCGTCGATGTGGATTCGATGATATGAGGGATGCACAAGAGCAGCTTTACAACAGAGCCAATGTAGGCAACCCCGAGTTCAGTGTCATATTTGCCGTGGGTGGGTATTGACTGCGCTGGTTGCAGCTATTGTTCGAACTGAGAACCGAAGAACGGCCTCATGTAAACGCGCAAGGCGCCGTTCTTCTTACGTATTATGAATCCCCAAAAGACCCCCAGGCTGGAAGCTTGTGGGTCACAAGGGCGATTGAGCATGCCATGCTCATCGATAGTCACCCACCCTTGGTGGTGGGAAATGTGGCGATATCGCTCAAAAAACGACTTTGGTGGTCTATCCTTCTTCGTGATCAAAGCCTGTGCATCGGCCTGCGCCACCGACCTCGAGTGACCTCAATCGGCTTCCATGGATGGAGTGATTGGCTGAGTATAGAGGATTTCAGTGAAGAGTTGCATCAGTCTCGAGTCTACAACTATGATACCAAGAAGCGTTTACTAGTCGAACTTCAGAATCAATGTGAGTTAGCAGTCGTACTCACAGATCTGGACATCTTGGAAAAAGTTTGGCCAACATCTTGAAAATGGGAAGCTCCCTTGCCAAAGCAAATTTCACTAGGAATGACCCAATATCTAGAAGCCAATAAATTAGTTAATTTTCGGATCAAAGTCGACATGTAAAAAGCCCCGAAATATATAATTTATAAACGAAAATTAGTCTTCATAACACAACATTTGAAGACTTTTAAAGCGGTATATGTATTCAATAAACACGACTTCCAAAGTTCCATATTTGCACTTGGTTAATAAGTGTATCTAAAGCCAGACTTTTGGATTTCATTCATTAGCAAATTGTCACAATCGACCATTGATAGAAAGTACTCACCACACCCTCAAGGACCTTTAGTCCCCGCCCTTGCTGCCGATTGACGGTGTAAAAGTAAACTGCAAATGCACCCACGATCGCAATGAGAAGAATGTGAGAACTACCATGTTGTCAGCCAGAGCCCAATGTGTAATAATATCTAAAACCTACCCAACCGACACCCAAACTGCGGTCTGATAGTGCGGGGCTTCTTGCTGGCGGACAATGTAGCTGCCTGCCACACCCCCAAGCCCATTACATGCAGTGACCGCCGCAGCAGTAGCTACTCGTTTCCACTGGCCCACGATATTGTTGGCCTGGAAAGCATTGAGGGCAGCCCAGTTCGAGATATAAGCGCCGGTCGCTAGGAAGGTTCCAATGTAACGCACTGGCACCGAGGTTGATGCAGGAAGACCGAACATCAGGAACCCGGCTATGAGGACAAGAGCATTGAAGATGATCAGCGGCCCACGAACGCGGTAGAAATCTCCGACTAGTGAGGTGAGAATCACCGGGATTACGGCGTAATAGTAGGGCTAGTAAAGGAGTCAGAAAATATGATATTTCATACGCTGGATCAAACTTACCGGTGTGGAGAGCAGAATTGATTTATTTGAGCTGAAACCCATGCCGGATTGTAAGATGATGGGTAAGAAATATGACAAGGCTGTCGAGATGAGATTGAGCAAGAAGAACATGACCGCAAAGCCGTAGATCTTGGGATCCTTGAAATTAGCAAGAAGCGTGCCCCAAGAAAACGGTTCGGGGATAACATCAGCTCGATCATCTTGAATTCGGCGTGTTGCGACACGCGCCTCCTGGTCCGAAAGAAAGAAAAAGCTGCGCTGGGCGTTCTCGGGGAAGTCGACCATCCACCAGTATGTAACGAGACCCAGGACACAAGTAATGAGACCCTGGACAATATACATCCAGCGCCAACCCGCCAACCCGGCTACGCCGTTTAAATGATTAAGACCGAAATTGACGATATTGCCAGTCGCCAGAATCACAACTTCTCCGGACTGCAGGAATGCAAATCGGAGCTGTTGCTCTCGTCGCGGGTACCAGGCGCTAACCAGGTAAGTCAGGCCAGGGTAGATACCGGACATGGAAATACCGAGCAACACACGCAGGACAATCATCTGCTGCCAGGTGTGAACGAAAGCAGTGCACAGTGTCAACAGCCCAAATGTGAATGTGATTGTCGCAAACCAGATGCGTGGACCGATAAAGCGAACTGCCACTGTACATGGCAGCTGGAAGACCACACTGGCGATTGTGAAAATAAAGATGGAGACGGAGTACCGATTTCCCTGGTTTAAATCCAGATCATCGAGCATACTCGTTACCGAAGCCGAGGACAAAATGCCCGAGTCCAGCAAATTGAGACTGCATAAGAGCCCGCCGATGCTACAGAGACGGAGATCGACTTTCCATCGTACCCGCTTCTCTAGAGCGGCCCACTCATCCCCCCGCTCTGGGTTGAGATTGCTTCGGCCATCTTCAAGAGGAGCCTGATCGAACATCAGACTGTCGGACTGTACATTGGTCTCTTCTACCACTGGCTCCGGGGTATGCGATTCTTGGGCCGTTGGTGTCAAGGTGAACGCGAACTGGCCCTTCTCTGAATCGACCATCTTGAATGTCTGCACGATCAGGCCAATTCCCAATTTCTGAAATCAGATATTGTGACAAGTTGACTTGCTGATTCAACCTTTCTTTTGTTTTTCGCAGGTTTTCCAGGATAAGAACGTGATAGAAGCCGGCCGAGTGGTGCGTCTCTTAGCGCGCACGTCGGACCTCGGATTATCAATCCAGATCTTTCAGCTTATATATTTTTCCCCATTGAAGTTTACAGGGCTGAGATAGTAGGCCAATCCAGAGGCCAATTCCTCAGATCTGTACTCAATAAACGCGTAAACAGGTTGAAGAATTCCTAGGAGCATGTGACAGGGCACATTCCAAATTCTGCCCCTCCCACAATGCTGCATACAACATCTCTCTTATGAAGTTTTACAAAAAGAAAATGCATATACTAGGACACTAATTAATTATTAAAATCCTCAATCTGTACTGCTTTTACCTAGGATTTTAATATATTCCCTGCTGGATCATGCCCGTTCACAAAATGACTTTCTTGTCTATCTTGGATGCTTTAGTGGCAGAAGAAAACATATGATTTCGCCACCTCAATCGAGCACAATAATACCACGGAGCAAACGCAGGAGGATGTTATATTGAGTGGCACTATGTGTTTAATTATCCATCTGGATGTGAAGCTACTGCATTTTGAGAAACCATAGATCTTACGGAGTTAATTCCGCTTCTAACTAATCCTTTGGCTCATGAGGAAACACTCCACGGGTAGTGCTTGGTACAACCATCCCGGTCAGATGGGCATCGTTATCCTAACCTTGGAAGTCTCATTCTTATCGAGAAGTGGTCGAAATATCCGTTATCTTCGTATTATTTGGATATCGATCGCCAGTTTCTGATTTATTATTCTACCATGTACCTAAACTGCGATCTGCCTATCTAAGTCTTGCTCTTCTCAGACTATAAGCCCTCGGTAACTCCATTTACCATCCATTTTCCTTTTCCGCTTCATCTTTTCCACCTTACTCATAAGTATATGTAATATGTATAGCTGCCTGCTTATAACTGGCCTTGTGATGTCTTGCTCGTATTTTTTTGTATTTTTTTTTTTTTGAAGGGTAGAGGCATGCTAGTAATGTAGCTTCGTATGTACGTAATTTTAGTACTCCGTACACGCCTAATACTGGAACGATTTCAAATTGGCCGGTAGCTGATTTTACTCCGAACGTGTCTCGGGCTGACAGATTATATCTGGAATGTGGAATGTGGAATGTGGGACTACAAGAGTTGGGATGACAGCCGGTGAATTTATTTTATGGGATGTTCACGTTCAGGTTGATGCTGGATAATATCTGAAAGGGCCAATAAGAAGAGGGATATTTAGATTAGAGCCTCTGCAGTTAGCGCAAGGGATGGGTTGAAATAGAGAAACGAAAGCAAAGAGAAGTATTATACGGAGTACAAAGTATACATATGCAAATGAGACTATAGAAAGCATAAAATATTCAGGCACAAAGAACCTTGGAAGATTTAGCCCTAGGCCCGATTGAACCATGGACGCAGTAAGCTTTACGGCCCGGTGATTGCTCTGTTTGTTGCCCCACGTTCGGTCGAATGGAGCCCGGAGAAGCTTGCAAAACACTGCCTTTAACCTCCCCCCACGATTTCTACTTTCCCCTCTCCGCATTTCATATCTACACTACCCATTATGGTCGAACTCATCAACCCACCCGAAACTCGCGAACTCCTCCCTCCCCTCCTCGCATGCCTCCCACTAGCCTTCGTCTCGCCCCGCGCACCCCCAGCTCTGTTACCACTTCTCTCTCCTATTCTGCGCCAACGAGTTGGAGTTCTCAGTTCGCTATCCACATCTTCCACTGAATCATGGCTGCAGCTACTGTGCTGGGATGCTGGGAAAGCAGAGCGACTGCAGAGGGTCATTGACGGCGCCACATTTGAACCACACCCCGTATCGGGCGAAATCGAGCTTCCGGATGAACTTCCGGTGACATACAAACGGATCGACGATGAGACTCTCAAAGCACAAGTTCCACTTCCTGAATACAGTTTGATGGTGGTCTATTTGTGGTGCCCGACAGACGAGGAGGGGAGGTGGCCGTGGCTGGCGAGTCGCAGAACTCTTGCCACGTGAGGGACCTGCTGAGGATGACGATACCTGGGCTTCCTCCATCAGTGAGGCCAATGTTCAGGCAAAGGATCAGCTCCTGAATGAGACGCTGAAGGCTGCCGAGGAGGAGAAAACCCAGGAGAACGGCATGGAGGAGGACGACGATGACGATGATTACTGGGCTCAGTACGACTCCACACCTGGAGCTAAGACCCCCGCGCCACGTGCTGGTTCATCAAAGACGGGTCCATCTGGCTTATCTGAGCAGTCCTATTTCTCGCAGTACGGCGATGTGCAGCCGGCTATGGATAATCATGATCCCGCGGAGGAGCAACCTGAGGTTGGTCCGTCATCGCTCAACGGAGATATGCTGGCCAATCTCTTGCGACGACAGGTGAACGGAGTCAATTTAGAAGACGAGCCTCGCACCAACGGATATTCCCCAGACCATATCCCCAGTGATAAGGCCGCACAAGATTTGAGCCACCCGCGGCCAGCCTCTGCCTCTTCCAATAGCTCTCATGCTATTGCCAAACTAGAGCACGAGGCAGAGAGCCAGTCCACTTATGAGGTGGGAGTGAAGCAACATATCGGTACGAGCATCAAGAGTTTGTTCCGCTTGGCAAAGGCCACTGGAATGCCCCGAGCGGAGTTCCAGGCTTTGGTCTCGATGGAATTGGAGCTTTTGAATATTACGGACGATGAGTAAGGCCCTAAGATACTTGAGTGATACCCATGAACCATATTGTTTGCTTCGGATTGCGAGTTCATATTTGACCAATCCGTTTTGCATATGTTAACAGCATTACTGGGAGTGAATGGTTTGGGCATTTGATCTTCCAAGGTTGTTCTCTGTCGAACACATAACCAATAAAACAATAAAACAATACATATGTACCATACTACTTCCCTTTTGCCTTATCTAAAGTATAATTTGAGGCTGTAAAGGAAATCCTGCACGGGTGACCTCATTTCGCAAAGGATACCCGATAAGGCGTAGCGTAACCCAAACTTACCTACATAGGCAACCTTAGAAACGCCATGAATGCTGCCCAGGTGCCCAGTTGTGGCTAAGTTAAAGGCTTAGTTTACTATCGGTGTATCGCTCTAACTAATTTGAGCAACTAGAATAATCTGAGGCTGAGCTTACCCCACCCCACTTTTAGACTTAAAAGGATGTTGGCCCCCAAAAGATGCTTACCAGAAGATCAACCTATTTTCTTTCACACACACAATGGCCGATGAAAAGAGACAAAATCCGTTCGAGACTTTGGGATGCACTGCCGAGGGGGAGGCAGCAGACCACCCTCCAGTATACACATACACTGCAGAGCCCTCTACACAACCAAGCTGGTCACCATCTGTACAAGAAACCCCAGCATACACAGCAGGTCTCTCGACCCAACCAAGCCGATCAATACCAGTTCAACAACCCCCTTTTCAAATAAGCCACAAACCAATCGCAATTCCAGCCCTCACCTCCTCTTCTGATTCTCCATTCATTCGCGCATATCCGCCTATCCTAATAAACCACCAACTCCCCAAGGAATCCTTCCTCGCCTTCCTCGACCAACTGAACAAAGACATAGCCGCCAGTCCGCCCCTCCAAGTCCTAGATGCAACAGGCGGGATCTTGAAGTCTGTCCCAATCCTATTCCCACTACATTGGATTGGGAATGCTGTCAGCGGACTCGCAAACCTGAGCAGTCAAGGCATGTCCAAAAGCCGCACGGACTCCTCCATCAGACAAGCTAATAGGGACATCTTCGGTCCCCGTGGCTTGAGAGTTGAAATTGCGAAGCTGGATGCGTTGGCACATGTCGCTCAGTTCCCTATGTTGGATTCTCAGGGCAAGATCAATCAGGGGGCGCCTCTGTTTCTACAACTCCAGCACGAGGCATCCATGGCCAGCACCGTCGCAGATGAAAGGCAGCAGCAGGAAATTGATTTACAGCAGAGAATTAGGACTTTACAGCCCTGGATTGCTGAGCTTGAATTTGAGGTTTTGCCCTGGTCTTCTAAGTCTAAGTTGACGCGGCTCAACGCCTCGTTGAAGAAGTATAATGAGCCGAGGGACGAGGAGAAGAGAAGTATGGGGAGGCGAGATCGGGACCGGAGAGGCATAGGGATGCGCAGACAAGGCGATGTCTACACTCAAGGGATCAAAAAGGAAGAAGCTCCTTTCAAGAAGGCTTTGTGGCTTGTCATTCGGGAGGTTGAGACGGATGAAAGGCGTTGATTTGGCTTAATCATACCCCGGGTTCAGTGAGATATACCACTCGTGATTTAAACTTTTGTCGAGGGCAGACGTGGTTGGCTATATATCTTGCATTTCGGCACTGTCTAAACCCAAATTGGCTGGCTCTGACAAGGGACAACAAGAGAGAGTCTTTGTTAACTAGTAAAGATTCAAACCAGTAATATTTCAATGATAATATACCACCATTTCCTCTTATGAATATCTCTCTAATTAAATGTCAGAAAAGACAACGAAAAGTTGGCCAAAGGAGAGATCACATGCTCCAAATTCATTGCATAAATTAGTCGACATCAAAAGATTAATAGAACACCCTATGTGTAAATTAATAATAAACTTGAACTTGCAAGGTTCAATTTCTTTGGATAGTCGACTCGACAGTTGAATGAAACAAGGAGTGTACATATCACCCTTTTTGTGGATTTGTATACGTCGAGCCGCCTGGGCCACCGCCCTACCCGGAAACCAAGAAGACACGCAACGCTCTACTGTCAACCCCCCTCCACACCTCCTTTCCTTTCTCATAGTTTTCTTGGCCTCAATTGTTGGGTGCCATGCTTATTTGGTGATTCTAGTAAGCTTCCTCTTGATCTCTATTGCGGTCTTTTTTCTGGTTTGTTGATGTTTACTGACACCCTCGGCAGTCTATTTGGCTATAGGTAGTTTCTCGGTCGCTCTCTACATTTCATATTTTCAACATGTCGTCCCCTTCGCCCTCTCTGCGGAAGAGAGGCGGAAAGAAGGATGTTTACACCGCATTGCCCTCTGAGGATGGCTCGGCTCCCGTGTCGGTGCCGGTCAAACAGAAGTCGGAATGGGACTATTGGCTGGCCATAGTGATTCTCACCCTTCTGGCTTTCGCAACGCGGTTCTACCGACTCGACTACCCTAACGAGGTTGTCTTCGATGAGGTTCATTTCGGCAAGGTATGAGGTCCAATGCCTCTTATGGTAGCACAATCTTTACGAAAAAGGGGCCCCTTTCACTAACATAGATAATGCTTGGCTAGTTCGCTTCTTACTACCTTCAACGTACCTATTTCTTCGATGTGCACCCGCCTTTTGGAAAGCTGTTGTTTGCCGGCATGGGCTGGCTCATTGGCTTTGATGGAAGATTTCTGTTCGAGAATATCGGCGACTCTTACATCGAAAACAACGTGCCCTACCTCTCCCTCCGTGCCATGCCAGCTACTCTCGGTGCTTTGACAATTCCCGTGGTGTTCCTTATTATGTGGGAGTCTGGCTACTCTCTTCCAGCCTGTGTGCTGGCTGCCGGTCTGATGGTATTTGACAACGCCCATGTGGGCGAGGACCGTCTGATCCTTTTGGACTCGACCCTCGTGCTGTCAATGGCACTCAGTATTTTGTGCTACGTCCGTTTCTACAAGTTGCGTCACCAACCATTTAGCCGTAAGTGGTGGAAGTGGCTTCTCCTGACCGGCTTCTGCATGAGCTGTGTCATCTCCACCAAATACGTCGGTTTCTTCACTTTCGTGACCATCGGCGCAGCAGTTCTCATCGACTTGTGGAACCTCCTGGATATCAACCGCGAGCAGGGAGCGCTGAGCATGGTCAACTGGGGCAAGCATTTTATTGCTCGCGCTGTTGGATTGGTCGTGATCCCCTTCATGTTCTACCTGTTCTGGTTCCAGGTCCACTTCGCGATTCTCAATCGGTCTGGCCCCGGCGACGACTTCATGACTCCCGAGTTCCAGGAGACTCTTAGTGACAACCAGATGACCGCCCAGTCCGTTGGCATTCAGTACTTCGACACTATTACCATGCGCCACAAGGACACCAAGGTCTTCCTCCACAGCCACTGGGATAAGTACCCCCTGCGTTATGACGATGGTCGTATTTCCAGCCAGGGCCAGCAGGTCACTGGTTATCCTCACAACGACACCAACAACCAGTGGCAGATCCTGCCGGCCGAGCCTCTGGTTGATCCATCTCAGCCTAAGAGCGTGCGCAACGGCGACATCATCCAGCTGCGCCATATTGGAACCGAGAGTTATCTCCTTACTCACGATGTTGCGTCTCCCTTCTTCCCCACGAACCAAGAGTTCACTACAGTCTCCCAAGAACTGGCTGATGGTGAGCGCCACAACGACACCCTGTTCGAGCTCAAGATTGAGTCAGGCAAGGCTGCCCAGGAGTTCCGTACTCTTGCCAGCCTGTTCAAGTTGGTGCACGTTCCGACTCGGGTTGCTTTGTGGACTCACACCACCCCGCTGCCAGATTGGGGTTACAAACAGGCCGAAATTAACGGTAACAAGAATATCCTCCAGTCCAGCAACACGTGGTACGTTGAGAACATCGAGAACTTGGAGGAGGATAGTCCTCGCCTTGTCAAGGAGGAGCGTAAGGTCAAGACGCTGCCTTTCCTGCGCAAGTACTTCGAGTTGCAGGGTGCCATGTTCCACCACAACAACGCTCTGACCAGCAGCCACCCCTATGCGACCGAGCCCTTCCAGTGGCCCTTCCTGTTGCGGGGCGTGAGCTTCTGGACCAAGAACGATACTCGTGAGCAGATCTACTTCTTGGGTAACCCCATTGGATGGTGGATTGCCAGCAGTATTCTGGCCGTGTTTGCCGGCATTGTTGGTGCTGATCAGCTCTCGCTTCGCCGTGGTGTTGATGCATTGGAAGAAAGTAAGTCGACCCCCTAAATACCCTGTTCTTATTCCATTATTTTGCTTCGGTAATCTAACACGTTCGTTAGTTTGGGGCCCCGGTACGCGCTCGCGTCTGTACAACAGCACCGGGTTCTTGTTCCTGTGCTGGGCTGCGCACTACTTCCCCTTCTGGCTGATGGGTCGCCAGCGCTTCCTGCATCACTACCTGCCCTCACACCTGGCCTCCACCATGGTGTGTGGTGCTCTGATTGAATTCATTTTCAACCTGCAGCCGCTCGATCCCCGCACTGCACTCCCCCTGTGGATGACCCCTCGGGCAAGTCCAAGGCGCGGTCGGTTAGCAGTCTGCGCCGGTTCATCACGGCCAAGGAACGTATGGGCTGCAAGTCGCTCATCGCGGGCTGGATTGCCACCCTTGTTATTCTGGCCGCCACTATCTGGGGCTTCATCTTCTATGCGCCCTTGACCTACGGTACCCCCGGCCTCGATGTGGAGGGTGTCAATGCGCGCAAGTGGCTGAACTATGACCTGCACTTTGCCAAATAGACTCTCGTCGGTGGCCTCCTTGGCCCAATTCGAGAGAACAGACCCATTTGGAGACGATGGGCCGAACTGAAATTGCGACTTTGCAATTTTTGTAAGCTAACTTATAATCCGTGATAAAAGGCGGGGGAGAGGGTGTATTTTCTGTGCGATTGGAAACGTGATGGAGTAGTGATATCTACCTTTGGTGTCATTTGGAACCATCGTGTATGTACGTGTAGGTATGTGCGGTCATTTGAGTTCTCTTTTTTTTTTCTTCCATCCCGATGTAGTA